CAAATACAGGACACACTCACGCTAATTTAAATAAATTTTCCAGAACTTGAGGTGAGGTGGAAACGCAAACCACACAGATTACCAGGAATTCTTTTACCCAGGTAAACAAATTCCTGGTAATAAAAGTTCCTGGAAATGTTGGTGGAAAAGGGGCTAATATCTAACAATTTCAATATATTCTTTCTTTTAAAACATGACACAAAATGTGATAAACATTTTCATATTTTTGTGTAGGTTAGGGTTGCAATATGGGTTGTATGTGACTACATCAAAGCCCACCCCACACTGTACTCTCACCAACCCAACCTGAGCTTTCTGAATAACACAAATTATTGTTTATTTTATGTTTATATTATTGGAGTAATTCTCCTGAGATGTATTATCCAAATAAGTTATTGGTGAATGGAGAGAAGCATGTGGGTATTTTGTGAAATTAAAAAATTGATTAAGACAGAAATGGGATTGGCCTCATGTTTGTCAGAAGATATGACTTGATGAAAAGGACAAAACAGAAATGTGACACACAACTCTTTGGGCAAAACATAGCGTGCGTGCATGTGTGTGTGTGTGTGTCCCATGTTCCTAAGCCCTATATAAACAACAGTCCGCCCTGGCCAACGGGATGTGAGTTTTGGAGCCTGCCCCCTTGGTGTGCTGATTTGTGTGTTTTGATAGAACACATTCTCCCATTGAAAGAACCACTGGCTGGAGACACACACACACACACACACACACACACACACACACACACACACACACCCCTCCCCTTATCTCAACCAACAATGTGTTAGTCCGTCTCTCATTACTCTCTGATTGCCCTTTCCCTGTATGTGGCACTGTGGCAGCTTCAAGCCCATCAGTTCCTACTAGAGGTGGACAATATGACCTGAAATTATTATCACGGTATTTTTCACATTTTGGACAATAACAGTATTGTATAATGGCATTCCATTTGTTAAAGTTTTGGGAGGAGTAGCCTGTCCTGTTCCTTTATGTAAATAAAGTTAATATTGTGATAATCATAAGTTAATGGTGTTTGTCCTTATCAAACCTGCTGTGAGAAAACCCTTTGAATAGAATAAAACTGAATTAATCTTAGGAGATTGCAAGAAGCATATTTAAAAAAAAGAATGTGCTCTTATTCATCTTATTCTTCTTATTCTTGAAATTAACAGTGCACACGCACTCTACCCCACCAGAGCCCTCAAAGGCTAGTCAACAACAATGCTATAGCATCACATGACAGGGATCATAGGGCATCCTTTAAAAACATTGTTTGCCTGGTTCTGTTTAAATAGCTCTAAAATACGAATCATAACTGCTAGAACATTTATTCTTTTAGCAGCAGAAAGCTAAAGCTTCTGTCTTCCCCTCCCTGTCACAAAATTTTTAATGCATGAAAAGTGCTATACAAATAAAGTTTGATTTGATTTGATTTTATTACCTAATGACCTTTTGTTACCCTACCATATGTGCCATGCAAGTGTAATGGATCGCTGTTTCCATTCCACTGTATATATACACATCAATCCAAAATAAAACCTGTAATAGCTGGAGGTTTTGTTCTTTTTGCAGCAGAAAGCTGAGACTTGTGTCTTCCTTGTCATACTGTCATTACCGTATTTTAACTTACATGCGGTGCAAACGTAGTATTTTGCCATAGCCAGCAGAAATTCCCCCCAGGGACTGACCCTTTGCTAAGTCCTGCCCTTGGACGCAGACTGGCCAATCATAGCATAGTATGGAGCCAGCTCAGACCATTGACCATTCACTCCATTGAGTCTAATGCAGTCGTTTTCACTGGAAAAAGATATACAGTACAGGCCAAAAGTTTGGACACACCTTCTCATTCAATGCGTTTTCTTTATTTTCATGACTATTTACATTGTAGATTCTCACTGAAGGCATCAAAACTATGAATGAACACATGTGGAGTTATGTACTTAACAAAAAAAGGTGAAATAACTGAAAACATGTTTTATATTCTAGTTTCTTCAAAATAGCCACCCTTTGCTCTGATTACTGCTTTGCACACTCTTGGCATTCTCTCCATGAGCTTCAAGAGGTGGTCACCTGAAATGGTTTCCCACTTCACAGGTGTGCCTTATCAGGGTTAATTAGTGGAATTTCTTGCTTTATCAATGGGGTTGGGACCATCAGTTGTGTTGTGCAGAAGTCAGGTTAATACACAGCCGACAGCCCTATTGGACAACTGTTAAAATTCATATTATGGCAAGAACCAATCAGCTAACTAAAGAAAAACAAGTGGCCATCATTACTTTAAGAAATGAAGGTCAGTCAGTCCGGAAAATTGCAAAAACTTTAAATGTGTCCCCAAGTGGAGTCGCAAAAACCATCAAGCGCTACAACGAAACTGGCACACATGAGGACCGACCCAGGAAAGGAAGACCAAGAGTCACCTCTGCTTCTGAGGATAAGTTCATCCGAGTCACCAGCCTCAGAAATGGCAAGTTAACAGCAGCTCAGATCAGAGACCAGATGAATGCCACACAGAGTTCTAGCAGCAGACCCATCTCTAGAACAACTGTTAAGAGGAGACTGCGCCAATCAGGCCTTCATGGTCAAATAGCTGCTAGGAAACCACTGCTAAGGAGAGGCAACAAGCAGAAGAGATTTGTTTGGGCCAAGAAACACAAGGAATGGACATTAGACCAGTGGAAATCTGTGCTTTGGTCTGATGAGTCCAAATTTGAGATCTTTGGTTCCAACCTCCGTGTCTTTGTGAGACACAGAAAAGGTGAACGGATGGATTCCACATGCCTGGTTCCCACTGTGAAGCATGGAGGAGGAGGTGTGATGGTGTGGGGGTGTTTTGCTGGTGACAGTGTTGGGGATTTATTCAAAATTGAAGGCACACTGAACCAGCATGGCTACCACAGCATCCTGCAGCGACATGCCATCCCATCCGGTTTGCGTTTAGTTGGACGATCATTTATTTTTCAACAGGACAATGACCCCAAACACACCTCCAGGCTGTGTAAGGGCTATTTGACCAAGAAGGAGAGTGATGGAGTGCTGCGGCAGATGACCTGGCCTCCACAGTCACCGGACCTGAACCCAATCTAGATGGTTTGGGGTGAGCTGGACCGCAGAGTGAAGGCAAAGGGGCCAACAAGTGCTAAACACCTCTGGGAACTCCTTCAAGACTGTTGGAAAACCATTTCAGGTGACTACCTCTTGAAGCTCATTGAGAGAATGCCAAGAGTGTGCAAAGCAGTAATCAGAGCAAAGGGTGGCTATTTTGAAGAAACTAGAATATAAAACATGTTTTCAGTTATTTCACCTTTTTTTGTTAAGTACATAACTCCACATGTGTTCATTCATAGTTTTGATGCCTTCAGTGAGAATCTACAATGTAAATAGTCATGAAAATAAAGAAAACACATTGAATGAGAAGGTGTGTCCAAACTTTTGGCCTGTACTGTATGTTTCTTCCCTGTTCCAAAACCAAAATCAAAGCCTGAAAAGTCTAAGGTTAGTTAGCTAGCTAGCTACTGAAGATGTAGCCTACTGAATGTATACACAAGCTGCTTTTGCTTTTTAATGATTGTAACACGGATAAAAAAGACCTACCCTGCTACATAAACCGGTGAAACTGGTGTCATCGCATTGTGTGCAGATGAACGTTGCTTGACTTCCCCCGGAGATTCCTGCCTGTCTGGCGGTGGAGGTCCGGATGATGGCAGCAGCACGGGGGCGAAGCCAAACACCGTTTATCTGCACACACTGCGATACCACAAAGCTGTTTCAATATCGCAGATGTTTCTCTTTATTTTCATTGTCTTCTGTTGCGATCAGCAGTGATGTGGTGGTTCACTTTTACTCTGTGATCTGTAGCCTATAGTTTGGCTGTAGCTTCTAAGTACGTTTGTCTTTTAAACCTTTTTTTGCTGCTGAGTCAGTTTGACATCCTGGATATATCCTTCAAACACATTTTGTAGACCCCTCTGTCTGCTTCTCTCTGGAATCACTATTTAAGTTTTCCAAAAATATGATAAAATTTCTTCAGGAAGTGCAGTTAGTTACAGCGTGGGCTGTACTGTACTGCTTACTCCGACAGCTTGTCGGACCATTACAAAGGGGTGGGACTTAGCAAAAGGCCAGTGCAGTGGGAGATTGTTATTTGCATAATCCTTTATATAGCCATGTAAAATAAAAATCATAATTGCTAGAACATTAATTCTTTTTGCAGCAGAAAGCTAAGGATTGTGTCTTATGTGTCATCACGTTGTACGTCTGCAATGACGTCATTGCAATGCGTTACGTGTGATGGAAAAACTCTTGGTGGCCCAAGATTAATGAAGGATGAACCCATCACAACGCCTTTGCACTCTGCTCATAAAAATGAACATATCTCAAAAACTAAGTAATGTACATAGTTCAAATAACTTATGGAGTGTTAAGAAATATGAAATATAATCTGATAAAAAAAAGTTTTTTTTTTAATGATACAACTTCAGTACTTTTATTGATTATTATGGTTTACTGACTTACATACCTTTTTAGCTCAGTTTGTAAAGATTTTAGAAATAAAAAGAATTTAAAAATACTACTACTTACTCACAATAAGCAAAAATACTAACGTAGTCCCTGGCGGACCATTTTTATTGCAGAGTTCAAAGGGTCAATGTCAAGTTCTGTAGCATTTCTTTATTTTTATTTTCCCACAATTTGGTCTAACTTAGGGTATTTTGGGCTACTCTAATTTATGCCACAATAGCAGCAATAATTAACAATTATTATTTTTCCTCCAGAGGGGCAGCTCAGCCAATGAGGGTAAATGGGCTGCTGCTCAGGCAACTTTAGCCTGTACCTGTGCAAAAATGTGGAGTGTTAAGTGCCAACAAATGTGATGTGGTAATAATAATAAATATTTAGAAGATCATCCTGTAGGTATTACTCCTATGTGTAACATGGATAGCATTCAGACCCAATAACAGCTGTAGGCACTCAGACTATGTCATTTGTTGTTGCGCCAGGCCGTCACTGTGACATTCATCACATGACTGGAAACTACATGTGGGATGAAGCCTCAAAGAAGGAATTCCTGATTGGGACCAACCCCGACAGTCGACTGCCTCTTTGGTGGGATGGGTCAGAACCACTGTGGGTCACCCTGCAGAGACATGGAAAGAATGTCTTCATGTACTACTGGCCAGGTGAGCACACACTATGTTAACTTGAACACTCAACAGATACATTTCTAAATGAATCAATACAGGCAGCGTGACAGCTTGTGTTGTTCTCACACTGTTAGGGATTGAATGCAACCCAAAGTGTATTTTTATGCTTTAAGTCAATGTTCTCCTCTTTAACATGTGTAGCTAGAGTGCTTATGAAAGGGGTTCTTACGCTCAGTATTGTGCCTGAACCGTGTGCAGACACAGTTGGTACACTGAAGCTGCTGCTGCAGTGTAGTGGGCTGTGTCAGCCTTAAAGATTGATCATGTAATTTTTATCTTCTCTGCCTTTTAACTGAAAGACAACAGTTAAGAAGAAAGATTAATGGTGGTTTGTAGTTGAATGGAAGGTAATGTTCTCAATACAAGTCAGCTCTCAAAATTGTGATCTGACATTATCACCACTAAAAAAGCAGAATGCACTCAGGTCATTCATACCTGCCAAATATGGGTAAATATTAGCAGCTTAAGAGTTCATTCCCATAGTGCCAATAAACCCAGTGTTGTCATGCGTAGTACATGGGGTAGCCCCATCGCTGTAACTGCTGAGCTATAGTGCAATCAGTAGTAGAACCGTAATCTGCTGTGTAGAGTTTCAAAAACCATCATGCTACCGACTGGAGACCCTGCCAAACCAAGAGGTATACTTTTTATCATATCTCTTAGGTGCTCTATTCTTTTTTTTTTTTTTTTTTTTTTTTTTTTTTTTTTTTTTTTTTTTTTTTTTTTTTTTTTTTTTTTTTTTTTTTTTTTTTTTTTTTTTTTTTTTTTTTTTTTTTTTTTTTTTTTTTTTTTTTTTTTTTTTTTTTTTTTTTTTTTTTTTTTTTTTTTTTTTTTTTTTTTTTTTTTTTTTTTTTTTTTTTTTTTTTTTTTTTTTTTTTTTTTTTTTTTTTTTTTTTTTTTTTTTTTTTTTTTTTTTTTTTTTTTTTTTTTTTTTTTTTTTTTTTTTTTTTTTTTTTTTTTTTTTTTTTTTTTTTTTTTTTTTTTTTTTTTTTTTTTTTTTTTTTTTTTTTTTTTTTTTTTTTTTTTTTTTTTTTTTTTTTTTTTTTTTTTTTTTTTTTTTTTTTTTTTTTTTTTTTTTTTTTTAAACCAGCTGTGCGGAACTTTTTGTTTTCGTTGATTATAGCGCCCCTTTGGTCGAAGCAGCCTAGTGTCGTAAAATCTCGACTGCAACTGGCAATTACCACATGCATTTGATTTGGAAAGCGAGAGGATTAACTAACGTCAGGTCAGTCCAAGTAATTAGTGGAAACAGCAAAATGACTCCTGTCGTGTTTCTGTTCTGATCTACTTCTAACACAGCAAAGCTGTTACCTGCAGCCTTCGCTTGCAAAGCTAATGCTACTAACGTCAGGTCAGTCCAAGTAATTAGTGGAAACATGCAAACATTACACAAGTTAGCAGTAAAGTAAGTAAGTTCATAAATGTTCTGGTGTAGCTCTGAATTTCTTATAAACTGAGGACAACTGCCTGCTGTATATTCGTGTTCATGGTCACAGTCACAGAATTTTGTGGTGTTTGTTGCGAGCAGAATCACTTCTGCCTCGGGTGCCGTATACTGGTTTGCTGACTTCCGCTGTCCGTCCGACCTGCGCGAGGCTACACTAAATAGCCATAGAGAAAGGCTTTTTTGTCGCTGTTGGGTTCAAATAAATATGCAGATCTTCAAGGGGGGTTGATACAAACTAGGGACAGTTTTATTAATGGTAAAAAGTTCCGCACAGCTGCTTTAAAGATTATTTTTTGGGGCTTTTTGCCTTTAATGAACAGGACAGAGTGAAATGGGGTGAGAGAGAGAGAGAGTGGGGGTTGACATGCAGCAAAGGGTTGCAAGCCGGAGTCAAACCTGCGACCGCTGCAGCGAGGCATCGCCTCTATACATGGGGCGCCAGCACTAGCCACTACGCTACCGACACCCCAGTTAGGTGCTCTGTTCTATCATTCCATTTTATTAGGACTTTGTCAGTCCATTTGTTTGTAATGACTTCAAATAATGTTTGTTTTTTTAATTAATGCTTTTTGAAGGTACCAATGTGATGGATTCCTGAGGGACCTTAGTCAAAAGCACCCCATTCTTCTGAGTTCATGTTTGCCATGGGTCCTAATTTAAAGTATCACACAGTGTCAGGGAAGGCAGGGACACTAATCAGTTAGTTCGGGTCATTCAGGTCATTCTGGAGGAGACAGACACAGATGCAGCAGACACAGATTTCCTATTGAGCTCTTTAACAACCCTAAATACAACTCCTCCCTAAGGTTGTATAATGTTCAAAGTCAGAAATACATTACAGCATTTCATAGTGAAGGTGTTTTATGACTATCAAATTCAGTTGATCAAATTAAGGAAAACTCCATCTGCTGTTGTGGACATTCAATGCTCAGCTGGAAAATCTAATCATATAAGGTGTAAACCCAGCAAATGATTGCTCCTCCTGTCACATGTCAGTAAGCCTAGAGCACATCCTGAGCCAAATCATGAGCTATAACTGCAGTTCTTTGTAAACACCATTTATTTTATACTGAAAAAAAATTTAAACACTTTTGTTTTTTCTCCCATTTTTCACAGGTTTATGTTAGAGATCTAAGACTGTTAGATCTCCGCTGTTCCATCGGTGTGTGAGTGCATGTGAAAGGTTACTGAGTAACAAGTGGCACCAGGTATGGTAGCCTCGGCCACCAGTACGTGAATGTGTGTGCGACATGTAGTGTTAAAGCTTTGAGTGGTCAGACGACTTGAACAGCACTACACAAGTGCAGTCCATTTGATCACACACCACATTGCTAAAGATGTATCAGATTTTGATGGAGCGCCCCACTGGCATGCTGACTGCAAGAATGGCCACCAGAGCTGCTGCCTGTGAACTGAATATTCATTTCACTATAAGACATCTCCAATATTGTTTCCCTGAATTTGGTAGCACATCCAATCATCGTTACAATCACACAAGTCAGTTACAAGGACAAACTGCTGTCAGGTCAAGACCCTGGTGAGGACGATGAGCATGGAGATGAGCTTCCTTGAGACATTTTCTGACGGTTTGTGTAGAAATTCTTCGGTTGTGCAAACCAACCGTTAGCTGCCCGGATGGCTGGTCTTGGACGATCTTATAGGTGAGGACACTGGATGTGGAGGTCCTGAGCTGGTGTGGCTATGTGGTCTGCGGTTGTGTGGCCAGTTAGATGTATTGCCAAGTTCAGGGAAACAACACTGGAGACGTCGTATGGTATTTAAAAGGAACATGTTTTGAAATGAACATTTAGTTCACAAGCAACAGCTCTGGTGAACATCCCTGCAGTCAGCATGATAATGGCACACTCCTTCAAAGCGTGTGACATCTGTAGCATTGTGTTGCAATCAAACTACACATTTTAATGTGACCTTTTATTGTGACCATCCCAAGGCACACCTGTGTGTAATGATGCTGTTTAATCAGCATCTTAACCAGAAGTGTTGCATTCAGTGTACATTATGTACACACTGAAAAAAATAAATAAATTTGAATTACATTTATTTATTTTTGGGAGTCAGGGAGTCAGAGAGAACAAGGTATCTATCCACTGTTGTCTTGAAAGATAACAAATTTGGTATGACTGTTGTTTATTTCAGTTATTTTATATTTATATTTTATATTGATAACACACATCATGTTTACTTGAAATCACTGAAAACTAAATGATACCTGAATCAAAGGATGGTAAATATCCTTCTAAGTATTCATGTAAATTGTACTTGGGATAAAAGCTGCAATTTGTATTAAAAAAAACTATCTTTTTGTTTTACACAATATGCAGATTAGGTGAAATAAGTTAATTCTTTGCTATGATGGTTGTTTCTTAGAGTAGTATATTCCTGAGCCCAGTCAGTAGTCCTTTTGTGTTAAATATGTTGGTAGGATGAGAAAAAGAGTCCAACCTGATGTGAGGTACTGTTTACACACTGATGAAGGCACAGCTGTAATATCTGTGCCTTTAGCTCTGCTTTGCTTTGAAATAGAAGCTAAATACAAAGAGATATGAACTCAGCAGACTAATCACATGACGTGCAAACTCGATCTGAACTTGTTGTACTATGATATCAGTTATTGTATACATATCTTGTACAGATAAGTTGAAATGTGTGCAGACATTCATGGTCATCAGAAGTGATAAGATAAGAGAGACTTTGTCATCCATCTATAAACAGTGTAGTGCAGTACATAGAGGAACAAACTGTATAGGTTACTTGAAAACAAGTGAGATGAAATCATATGCTCTGGTGACATAATGTTCTGAGGTTTCATTTTATATTAAGAAGTCAAATACTGCTCAGCTGACAGGCCGTCTATGTTTCTGAGATTTTGTTCTTGGGAAAAATATATAAAGATTTTATTAGATTTATTGTCTGTCTGTCTATCAGTGGACAGATTTTGTCAATGCGATTGCATCGCAATCATGCAAGATGCATTCATGAAACTTTACAGGTGTGTAGCTGAAATCAAGGAAGGACGGGAAGTAGGGGGTAGGAAGTAGGGAAGGGGCCATTGGCTGGTTGTTCTGGGCCTACCCTGGGGTCTCTTATCAGTTAAATGGCCTCTTGTATTCACAGTGTTATTCCTTTGGGGCCTCATTTACAGATAGTGTGTATGCACAGATCTGTGCTTAAACTGTGCATGCCAGTGTTTTAGTAGAAATCTGGGATTCATCATTATTTTCATACCTGAATTTGTTAGAAGTATCTCAGATCATGCGTATGCACGCACATATGATGAAGGCCTGGGTGAAAATTTAAACACACACCATTTAACTAAATGCATAGCATATTAAAACCATAATTGTTTGAAAAGGCTTTCATAGACAACATTTAAAACCATTAATTCACTACTGCATTGGTCAAATGTATTCAACAACTATGAAATTGACACCCTTTCATCCTCATCAATTATTTTTTCAAAAATCCAACTATAATAACAGAGTGTCCCAGTTTTTTTTATCTTATAGAAATTGCGTATATGTTAATAGCAAACTAATTAATTGGTAGCCTATTAATAGGCATCCAGGGTATATAACAGATTCTGATTTACCTCCAAGCAGGTGTTAAGATGTCATATCTAACCTTGCTGGAAGATATTACAGGCTGTGCCTTTAGTCATCAGAGACCGACATGCTTGAACAGAGTGTTTGAAGAAAGTGATGAACGGATGATCAGCAGTTTCTGACTGTCACAGACGCTCACTGATGGCCCAACACTTGTGTGTCAGGGCCTTAATATGTGTGTCGAAACAACTTTACCACGTTCTCCATGATACTCCTCTGGGCAAATGTATTTCCTTTATATAGAGAAATGGGGCTGTGGCAGTATGCTGATTGCAGATAGCGGGCATGCTGCTGTCAATTAGAAATGGTTTGGATTCTCTAACATAGGTACAATGATAAGAACAAAGTCAGCCAGTGCACGTGTCATGAATATGACAGTGATTATGCATGTGCACTTTTCTGTGCAGAGTAAATATATTTCTACGTGCATATTAATGAATGAGGCCCTTGGTCACTACCCAATGCTCATGACCATGGCCATAGCTGAGGGCTGAAATGTAGATAAACTGGTAAATGAAAAGCTTTGCTTTTTCAGCTCCTTCTTCACCACAACAATCTGGTACAACACATACACTACTGCTGAAGCTGCACCAGTCCACCCATTGATCTCATGCTGCATTAAACTCTCACTTGTAAACAAGATCCTGAGATATCTGAACTCCTCTACATGGGGCAGCAACTCATGCCCAACCGGGAGGGGAGGAATCCATAATTTTCAGGGTTAGCCCCATGGCTACTGACTTAGAGGTGCTAATTGTTACCCTGACTACATAACACTAGACTGCAAACCGCTGTGCTAAAGGTCGCAGTCACAAAGAGAATCACATCATCTGCAAAGAGCAGCACCGGACACTCTCCTCCCTTGGCTCTGCCTACAAACAGAATCTGGGACAAGGGACAACCCTGACCCCATTGTAAGGAGTTGTGGTTGTGTATGTTGTGGCAACTTAAGAACCTGCTGGTGAGCACCTGCAGTGAAGGAGGCTGTCAAGCTTAAGAAAGAGACCTTCTGGGCTTGGCTAGCCCAGGATTCTCCTGAAGCAGCAGACTGGTACTGAGATCTTATGCACATTCAGCATTGTATCTCCATGGAATTCCTAGGCCTCACAGGCAGACCTTCATCCAAAGTATTTTTTCAAATTATCCTGTGAAATCTTTTGGAAGTTGAGTGTATGAAGTGAATGAAGTGCATTTCTTCTATTTACAGTACATCCTCCAGGACCATGATGCCTGCTTTTCCACATCTTATTAATAAAATGTCCCCACCTTGAGAAAAGGTTGTTATAGTCCCCATTTGCAGACTTTTACACCACGATTGTTGACTTTTAGCTGTTTTCCAGAGTCTAAAAATGTAGAGCATGTGAGTTGTTATAGGACCATGCTGTATTAAGTATTTTACATTAAGAATACCAGAAAGTATAATAGAGTTTATAAGGTGCAATTTATGTTTACTGTTTGTTTCTGAGATGTTCCTGAGGTGAAGAGTTATTAGCACTGAACCACCAAGTCAACCTCTTGAGCACAAATGCCCAATCATAAAGTTTATAGTTGGGTAAGAACTAAATTCAAGACCAGTGTGCTTTAATATACAATGTTAATTATCCCCAAACTGTCTTAAATAATGCAATAATCTTATGTGTGTTTGTCTTCAGGCTGCGAAGTGGAAATTCTGGGTGTCCGTCCAACATTCTGTGAGGAATACGTCTACAACCCATCAGAGAAAAACCTCACAGACTCGATAGAGGATGCTCTCAATGTCCTAAGGTAACAACATAATGATGTGTGATCCATGGCTTACTTTAAGAGCTGAAAAGAGATGGCAACTTGAGAGTTTGTAACATTTGTAACAACGCTCATAAAAATACAGCCTTGGAACAGAGCCTCTCTTAACAGTATGTCCTGTGGCTTGCACCTCATGTTTAGATAAGGATGTTAATTTTTAATGAACACCATTTCCAACAAAATTTGATGTTCAAAGGCTAAACTGGGCATAAAAGGTGAGTCCATTAGCGAGTCAAGGGGTCGCAGTCAGCTCAGACAAGTCTATAACAGCAGCACAGAGAGGACTGTACTCTAGAGGACTTTAGACAGCAGAGATTACAGTTACAGTATTGAAAAGTGACAAGCCTGGTATACACTTTGTGATTTTGGGCTGTCCTGGTCAAAAGATGACCATTGTGAAAGAAACATGGTGATATCTTATGTCACACAATGAGAGAGGTTCAAGGACGGCTGTTGTCACGGTCTTGTGAACAAGGACAGCTGTGTAACTTCTTTTATGATCTACGTCTACCAACCAACCCATTGAAATGCAGCATGAAATGATGCACTGGTGGTAAACCCAAACAAACAGACAGATAGCAGCTCGCTATGGAGGCAAAATGCGCTAAAAGAAATGTGTGGGATTCCAGCACCTTGTGAAAACCTTGTGGCGTTGAGGCAGCAGAAGCCTTGCCTGTATGATGTGTCCTCCAGCTCTTTACCGTGATTGCGTAAAGCGGGAAGAAGCATGAAAGGAAATAGCGGCGGAGTTGCAGCTGCCAGGTGAGCAACCTAGCAGTGGGAGCCTATCTATGTTTCCAGGGTTCTATGTTTCCCGGGTTCTATGTTCCTCACTTAACCCTGCAAAAAAGGTTCTATGTTCCCTGCTTACACAAAAAAGGTTCTATGTTTCCCAGGTTCTATGTTGCCTGCTCAACCAAGCGGGAAACATAGAACCCTTTTTGTGTAAGCGGGGAACATAGAAGCTTTTTTGCAGGGTTAAGTGGGGAACATAGAACCCGGGAATCATAGAACCCTGGAAACATAGGGTGACCCCCCTAGCAGCTAGCAAACACACACAGACACACCACAGTATATAGTGCCCATAGAACTTTAGAGTATTTAATAATGTGACCTACTATGTTGTGCTTCACAGTTGGAGTAACCTGTGATAACCTGCGCAGCATCCTTGTGCACTCAGTTTGAGAAGCTATTGCATCATATGTTGTAGCCTGCGATCCACTAGGCGCTGTCATCAAACTTGGTGTCATACCCAAGTTTATTAGATCCATGTTGCACAGTGTAGCTGCACTGAACTTATAAGGCTGTTAAAATCTCACAGTCTGTAGGAGGCTTTAGGTAGAGAGTGTCGATGAGATTTATGGATAGGGATGAAACCAAATAACAGTTACAGAAGTACAAACCTCTACACCTGTTGTTTTTATGCCTCTGTGATAGCGACAGCCATGGCAGGAGGCATTATTTTTTTGGGCTGTCCCTCTGTGCGTATGAACCATTCATGTGAATGCAATATCTCAAGAAGGCCTTGGGGTAATTACCCCTTATTTGGCACAAATGTCCACCTGAACAAAGGTCAAGGACATTGTGACCTCAGAGCTCAAGAATTCATATGCTAATTATGACATATTTCCCACAAATGTCTAATAGGATGCAATGATGAAGAGATGACATTTTATATCCAAAGGGTCAAAGGTCAACTTCACTGTGACATCATACTATGAATGAACAGAAGGGGAGAGAGGGAGACATTTGGTCAGATACTGAACGGTGACACTAAATCTGGGTGTCCACCTTGAAACTGTGCTGATTGTACAGGTGTTCTGTGCTGCTGGGGAAAGATGTGTGTGAGAGGGTCACATTACTAAATAATCTAAAGTTTTGTGGGCACCACAGTATATACTGCTGTGTGTCTGTGTGTGTTTGCTAGCTGGTAGGTTGCTCCCTCGGCATTTCCTTTCCATTTCCTTTCCTTCCATGCTTCGTCCTCCTTTAAGTGATCATGGTACAAGCTGGAGGACACATCATACAGGCAAGGTTTCTGCTGCCACAACTCCACAATGTTTCCCTCTTTTCTGGAATCTCACGTATGTCCTTTAGTGTGTTTTGCCTCCATGGCTATCTGTCTGTTTGTTTAAGTTTAGCACCAGCGCGTCATTTCATGCTCCATTTCTATTGGTTGGTTAGTAGAGGTAGCTCATAAGGGCAGTCACACAGTGAGATGGTCAACCCAAATTTCTGACACTGTCAGAATTTTATCCCACAGTGTCTTTGATGGCAAGACCGTGACAACAGCCGTCCTTGAACCTCTCTCACTGTGCGATGTAGAACCACTATTTTAGAGCCATGACCAAAGATATTGCTACGTTTCTGTAATGTGGGTCATCTTTCGTCTGGGACAGCCAAAAATCGCACAGTGTATATTGGGCTTAACATGGAGTATGACTAAGCAGAGAAAATCATTAACACTGAATGAAGAGAGAATATTTGCATGTTTTATTGAATATTCTTGTTTGTTATTTTTTGTATTTAAACTACCCACTGTATAAAGGATTGATCTGTTTCATATATGCCAAGATTATATCAGGACCATTTTGCTGATGACGTGAAATGGTTTTGATTCACTTTTATTTTGTAACTGCAATCTACAACTATGGAATTTTGTAGGTCCATGCTTTATCAGTGACAATATAATTTAGCAATAATGTAACTACTTACATAATGACAATAATGGTAGTGGCTATATGTGTGTGTGTGTGTGTGTGTGTGTGTGTGTGTGTGTGTGTGTGTGTGTGTGTGTGTTTGTGCGTGTGTATTTGTGCGTGTGTGTAGGGCAGGCCAAGCGAGCATGGCAGCAATATATTATGAGAAAATAGATGTGGAGGGCCATCACTTTGGTCCAGACTCTCATCAGGTCAGAACAGCTGTGCGACAGCTGGATCTTGCCATGCAGACACTCAACAGCAAAATCAAAGTTAGTGACATCACTCCTGTTGTTACAACAATTACAGTTACTACTGCTTTTCTTGTCACATAGTTTAATTTTCATCTGTTTTGGTTGCTTGTGACACTCTTGCAGGAGAAAAACATGGTGAACGAGCTGAACATTGTGCTATTTTCAGACCATGGTATGACAAAGATCCAGTGGATGGAGAAGGTCATAGAGCTGGACAAGTATGTCAACATGTCAGCCATTGTCAAGATGATGGACAGAGGACCAGTGGTTAGTCTGTGGCCCAAAGATAACAAGTACCAAGAGGTGAGGCCAGAATCAGTAGTTACTGCTCTGCCGTGATGCTCTTTGTGATTAAGAAAGTTACATATAACCATTATGAAATGATTCATGGAGAAATTGATTAGGTTCTTGTATATAGTAAAAAAAACTGTAAAAACAGGTACAGGTTATGTGTCTGCAGTACTCTATTAATTAAGTGCCACTGTTCTGATTAAATTGATTGCCACAAAGCTTGTTACAGGTTGTGGTCCTCTGCAGGAATAAAAGCCCTCGCCACAGCAGAGAGCTAGGATTTGCTTTGTTCATGGCCGAGAAGCCAGTGAAGGCTCACATTCTTCTTACTGCTCTAGTGAGTGGTTGGTCAGTGTGCCTGTGTGGACCCCTCAGTCTTGCACCCTCCTGCTGAAAGTCCTTATTAGCAGGTGAAAAGAAGCAACTGGTGACAAGGCCCCCAGAAATGCAGCTCAGCATTGCTGCAGGGTTTTCCAAGTGGCCACTCATGGTATTGCAGTGAAAAAATTCCCTGTGGCCCAAAAAGCATTTTCCCCATAGACAACTGTTATAAAAGAGACATTTGTAGGGGAGCAGAGAAACAACAAAAATAATATCTGATTTTGTTTAAATAAGATCTGATACTGGAAGTTTGTGACACACATGGCACCTACCTGCAGAGCAGCAGAGTACAAAAGAAGTTATCTACTGCAGAACTTTGAACATAGGTTGAAGAGAAGACACTTTTGGAAATGCAGGTGTGTATTCATACTCCTCCGAGAACCGTCACCTTATCATGGTGGAGGAGTTTGAGTGCCCTAATGACCCTGGGAGCTATGCTGTCGGGGGCATTTTGCCCCTGGTAGGGTTTTCCATGGCAGATTGGTTCTGGGCGAAGGGTCAGACGAAGAACGGTTCAAAAGACCCTTCATGATGGATACAAACAAGGACACGTGTACCCGGCCCGGAGGGTTACCGGGGCCCCGCCCTGGAGCCAGGCCTGGGGTTGGGGCCCGTGGGCGAGAGCCTGGTGGTCGGGCCTTCGCCCATGGGGTCCGGCCGGGTCCAGCCCGAACCAGCTACATGGGCTCGTCCCCCTGCAGGCCCACCACCCGCAGAGGGATCCAGAAGGGTTCGGTGCAATGTGGATTGGGCAGCAGACCAAGGCGGGGGCCTTGGCGGTCCGATCCTCGGTTACAGAAGTTGGCTCTTGGGACATGGAATGTCACCTCTCTGGCGGGGAAGGAGCCGGAGCTTGTGGAAGAGGTTGAGCGCTACCGGCTAGATATAGTCGGCCTCACCTCGACACATAGTTCCAGCTCTGGAACCCTAGTCCTTGAGAGGGGTTGGACTCTCTCCTTCACTGGAGTTGCTCCGGGTGAGAGGCGGAGAGACCCCCAGACTCTCTGCCTGTACTTTGGGGTTTACCCCGGTAGACGAAAGGGTTGCTTCCCTGCGCCTGCGACGGGTCCTGACTGTTGTCTGTGCTTATGCACCGAACAACAGTTCAGAGTACCCACCCTTTTTGGAGTCCCTGGGACGGGTGCTGGACAGTGCCCTGACCGGGGACTCCATTGTTCTGCTGGGGGACTTCAACGCTCACGTGGGCAATGACAGCGGGACCTGGAGGGGCGTGATTGGGAGGAACGGCCTGCCCGACCTGAACCTGAGTGGTGTTCAGTTATTGGACTTCTGTGCGGGTTGCAGTTTGGCCATAACTAACACCATGTTCAAACATAAGGATGTCCATCGGTGCACGTGGCACCAAGACAGCCTAGGTCGCAGGTCAATGATCGACTTTGTAGTCGTATCATTTGACCTGTGGCCATATGTTCTGGACACTCGGGTGAAGAGAGGAGCAGAGCTGTCAACTCACCACCTGGTGGTGAGTTGGATCAGATGGTGGGGGAAGACGCCGCGCAGACCTGGCAGGCCCAAACGAACAGTGAGGGTCTGCTGGGAATGCCTGGTGGAAGAACCTGTCCAGATGATCTTCAACTCCCACCTCCGGGAGAGCTTCGACCGCGTCCCGAGGGCAGAGGGGGACATTGAGTCCGAATGGGCCTTGTTCCGCTCTGCCATTGTCGAGGCGGCAGTTGCGAGCTGTGGTCGCAAGGCCGCTGGGGCCAGTCGCGGCGATAATCAGCCGTCAGGCTGAAGAAGGAGGCCTACAGGGCATGGTTGGTCTGTGGGTCTCCGGAAGCAGCTGATGGGTACCGGCGGGCCAAGCGGAGCGCAGCGGCGGCAGTCGTTGAGGCAAAAACTTGGCCGTGGGAGGAGTTCGGTGAGGCCATGGAGGAAGATTATCGATCGGCTCCAAAGAGGTTCTGGCAAACCGTCCGGCGCCTCAGGGGGAGAAGGCGGCAACTTGCTCACACTGTTTACAGTGGGGGTGGGGAGCTGCTGACGTCAACTGGGGACATTGTCGGGCGGTGGAAGGAATACTTTGAGGAGCTCCTCAATCCCACCAACACGTATTCCAGTGAGGAAGCAGAGACGGGGGTCTCGGGGGTGGGTCGTCCAATTTCTGGGGCAGAAGTTGCTGAGGTAGTGAAACAACTCCGAGGCAGCGGAGCCCCGGGGGTGGATGAGATTCGTCCTGGATATCTCAAGGCTCTGGATGTTGTAGGGCTGTCCTGGCTGACATGCCTCTGCAACATTGCGTGGACATCGGGGGCAGTGCCTCTGGAGTGGCAGACCGGGGTGGTGGTCCCCATTTTCAAGAAAGGGGACCAGAGGGTGTGTTTCAACTACAGGGGGATCACACTCCTCAGCCTACCCGGTAAGGTCTACTCCAGGGTGCTGGAGAAGAGGGTCCAGTCGATAGTTGAACCTCAGATTGAGGAGGAGCAATGTGGTTTTCGTCCCGGACGCGGAACCGTGGACCAGCTCTTTACCCTCGCCAGGGTGCTGGAGGGGGCATGGGAGTTTGCCCAACCAGTCCACATGTGTTTTGTGGATTTGGAGAAGGCTTACAACCATGTCCCCAGGGGCATCCTGTGGGGGGTGCTCCGGGAGTATGGGGTTGGTGGCCCCTTGCTAAGGGCCATCCAGTCCCTGTACCGAAGGAGCATGAGTCTGGTTCGCGTGGCTGGCAGTAAGTCGGACCTGTTCCCGGTGAGGGTTGGACTCCGCCAGGGCTGCCCTTTGTCACCGGTTCTGTTCATAACTTTTATGGACAGAATTTCTAGGCGCAGCCGAGTGGTGGAGGGTGTCAGGTTCGGTGACGGGAGGATCTCGTCCCTGCTTTTTGCGGATGACGTGGTCCTCCTAGCTCCATTGAACAGTGACCTCCAGCTCTCGCTGGGGCAGTTCGCAGCCGAGTGTGAAGCGGCTGGGATGAGAATCAGCACCTCCAAGTCTGAGGCCATGGTCCTCAGCCGGAAAAGGGTGGATTGCCCACTCCAGGTCAGGGGGGAGGTCCTTCCTCAGGTGGAGGAGTTTAAGTATCTCGGGATCTTGTTCACGAGTGAGGGTAGGATGGAGCGGGAGACTGACAGGCGGATTGGGGCGGTGTCAGCAGTGATGCAGGCGCTTAACCGGTCCGTTGTGGTGAAGAGGGAACTTAGCCAGAAAGCGAAGCTCTCAATTTACCGGTCAATCTACGTTCCAACCCTCACCTATGGTCACGAGCTCTGGGTAGTGACCGAAAGAATGAGATCGCGAGTACAAGCGGCCGAAATGAGTTTCCTTCCTGGCTAGGCTCAGCCTTAGGGATAGGGTGAGGAGCTCAGACATCCGGGAGGTACTCGGAGTAGAGCCGCTGCTCCTCCACATCGAGAGGAGCCAGTTGAGGTGGTTCGGGCATCTGGTAAGGATGCCTTCCGGACGCCTCCCTTGGGAGGTGTTTCGGGCATGTCCAACCGGGAGGAGACCTCGGGGCCGCCCCAGAACACGCTGGAGGGACTACATCACCCAGCTGGCCTGGGAACGCCTCGGGGTTCCCGCAGAAGAGCTGACAGAAGTGGCAGGGGAGAGGACTGTCTGGGCTTCTTTGCTGAGGCTGCTCCCCCCGCGAGCCGGACTCGGATAAGCGAAGGACGACGACGATGACGATAAACAGTCTACTGTTGTCAGCTCAACAGAAATCAGTGGGGGTTTTTTTGAGTTATGTAAAATAAATGTGGGAGATTTTTGTTTAAAACCTTAAAATATGTTGACTATAAACAAACAATAATTATATTATGGTTGTTAAATTGTAGAGCATACAACCAGAGTTATGAGCTGAAATAAGCTGCCACTATCAGTTGAGCTAAGGGGCCCTGCAGTGTTAAGGACTATGCACAACGCTTTTCAACTTAATGCTTATGCATTTCATTTGTTATTAACATTAAAATATGAATCCATGTAGCTTTAATGACACCGGATCAACCATTTTCCAGGTCATGCAAGTGTTGATGAAGAAGGAATAATGAAATAGGGATTCGGGGTGTATCTGTATTACCAGTGACATCTTTGAAACTGCAAGTGAGGAACTTGAAGAATAGGGTTTGACATGTAAAGGGTCACGCATTTCTTTCTGCAGCTGTCTGACCAACCAGCAGGAGGCACTAGTTAATAAAGCTACTTTTTTGTAGAAAGTTGCTTTATATGTAAGGTTTGTTATTAAAACAGTTTAATTAACACTGTTAATGCATGTCTTTGTGTATGTGTGTGTGTGTGTGTGTGTGTTATGCCAGGTGTATGCCGCATTGTCCCAGGTGCCTAACATGCGTGTCTATGCCAGACAGGAGATCCCTGAACGTTTCCATTTAAAAGGAGGGAAGTTTGTTTCCCCCCTGACGCTGGTCGCTGAGCCTGGCTGGTTTATCGCAGAGGTAACAGATAATACTACACTTGTATAAACACATTTACAGGGATAAAGTCTACTTCTGTTCACCTGCTGATGTTTTTGTACTCAGAGCAACTGCATTATAAGTGAATGCAAAAATAGAGAGGGAAAATTGTTCTCATTCCGAGGCTTTATGACTGTTCATCAAGACATTTCATTGCCTGCTTCACTTGTTACAGCTATTTTATTTTGACACTTGGTCCTTATTAATTAACAAATTGCATTTGTTCAGTTGTCATGGCACTAACTATAGATGTTCTTCCCATGAATTTGAGCACCTCAGGGATTTTCATCCATGTTGACTTAAAGGTTAAAGATTTCATGAAGAGTTTTGACCATTGATAGGCCTATGGAGCTGTTTTTCTATGAATGGAGCCTCATTATATTTGTCTCACACATGAGGATGCACATGCACAGGGCTGGCACAATACACGTTTCTGCCAATGCTTTCACACTATTCCACTGATCTACAGGTGGCAGTAGCACCTTTAAGCTTGTTGGTTCTTTCTTAGCCTTGAAAACAGCAGTTTCACCACAACAATCTCACCTCAAGATCCATTTTGTAGATATTGTGAATCATATGTGGATTGATAGTGTTGCAGCCATTAAAAATCGATAAAACCTTACTGTGTATGTGTTTGTTTTTGTGTCTCCAGAACAGGGCAAAACTCCCATACTGGAAAAACGACTCTGGAGAGCCCTCGGCGTGGCAAAATGGTTGGCATGGTTACGACAATGAATTTCTTGACATGAGAGGCTTTTTTTTGGCAACAGGACCCGGTAATAAACAAGTCATAATTTAAAATAACAATCAGGGCAATATTATACACCTGTGTCTGTCAAGCAAACACCCTGCTTTACAGTGCTATCTACGATGGCCGTGAAGTTAAAACACAGCATCATTTCAGAAAACATATTTCACAAAACATGTAATTTCACTTTGGTTTTGGGAAATGTTGCTGTTTTTCACTGAAGTGTCAGTTTTGTAAAATGCTTGGTTTTATGAAATGATCCTGTGTTTTCTGATATGTTGTGTTTTGTGAAATGATCCTATGTTTTGTCACACGTCTTGTTTTGTTAAATGTTGTGTTGTGTAAAATGATCATGTTTTGTTCTGTAATTTATTTTTTTTGTTAATGTGTTTTGTTGTGAAATTGCCTTGTTTTGTGAAATGCTGCTGTGTTTTATGAAATGTCATTTTGTGGAATGTTTTGTTAAATATTATGTATTCTGAAATGTCATGTTTTCTGAAATGTTGTGATTTGTGAAATGTTGTTTCTTGAAGTGTTGTTGTGATTTGACCCTTAGGGTTCACCATAGCTATCTGTCTGAAAGCAACCACACCATTCTCCTGTTATCCACTGTGTATTCAAAACATGACCAATATGACCATACAGTGGGTTCCTAAGTTATCTAGACATGACCCAGAAGTTTACCTGGGTAGTCGGTGTTTTTGAGGCAGACAAAGACAAAAGTGTGAAAAAGTTAAATATTTTTATATTTTAATATCAAGATATTTATTTGAGATGTTTATCTAATTATCTTTACTTCATTTCATCCAGAGTTCAAGCGGAATTTTCGGGCGGCTCCAATTCGAGCGGTGGATGTCTACAATGTAATGTGCTGGACGTTGGGGGTGAAACCTTTGCCCAATAATGGCTCCTGGTCTCGGGTAGAGTACTTCCTGAATGGCTCTGATGGTCCATCCCAACCCACAACCCTCTTTTGTGTGGGTTTGTTAGGAATACTGCTTGCACTATGGTAATGAAGAATTGAACAGTTGAGTGTTTATGGCACCCGATGGAAGCTAGAAATTATCGGCTAGAAAGACTTAGAACATTACACCATGTAGAGGCCGTTGAATCTAAATGTAAGGGAAGAGAAATGAAAGAGGCTGGAAAATTTCACCATGAAATGATTAGAGCATTCTTGAGGACCAAGAACCTGAGGCCTTAAAAGAGTTTTCCATGATCTCATCCCAATCCTTCAATAGACTGGGCAAAAAGAATCCTACAAACCCACAACACCTTAGACAGGACTTCCATTTTGGATCCTTACGAGCCCTAAACTCACAGTTTCTCTTCTTTGTCCAGCTCTCCATGTCTGATCAACATGTCTTGATGTCTGTGGTACACACTTTAAATGTCCAACAAAACAACTAAATGTTAACCTTTACATTTGCTTGAGCATTTTCAGTTTTGGCTGTTTTTTAAAGTTTTTTTTCCTCTGCAGTTTCTCGTTTCATTCTTTGTCAGTCATAGTTGTAGAGTGACTATCCAAAAAGCAAAAATATAGTCGCCAAGAGGCTAAGTAGGGGAAAAACTTTACCTGCCGGACGCGCTGGCATGTCAACAAATCTTCGCTCCAAAGATGTTGCGTTTTACATATTTATTGCTGATAAACAGTGAAACAACTTCCCAAAGTCTAAAAACAATTCCTTTTGCTAGTGTTGACCGATCAAAAGCGATCAAAGCGGTCAGCAAAAGTGAGACTTCCCCCCTCACCCTCTCTGTTCATTCATAAGAACCGCCCGGTGAAGAACAGCTGATTTTACTACTACCGCTGCTGACGTACCACCAACACCACGTGACTCACATCCTCGTAAGTGACCAAATATGGCATGCAAAGAAACTTAATACAAAATATTACAATAACAATAGCTGGCACCTACAATGGTGAAAAATGAGAAGTTAGAGATACAACATGTCAGCAGGACTTCTATTCAGTGATGTATGTATTCAGGGTTTCTGGTGCTTTACAGTTATATAGAGTTATAGATATAAATTGTGGTCAAATTCCTTGTATGTATTCACATTCTTGGCCAGTAAAACTGATTCTGATTTCTGAATAAAGGGCACTGTCCTAAAAATCTCTTTATAAATTTCCTGAAAACAACTAGGTGATTTGAAAGTTAAAATTGTCCAGGTTACTCCATTTTACCTGTAAGTATTTCCTAATGACAAAGGTATTTCCAGGAACCTTAATTGAAAATTATACAGAAAAATACACAGACCTCTAATATGAAGTATTACTTATTTGTGGGCTTGAAGCTGCTGTAAACATCTTCTCTCTTTTCATTTTTGTTCTAAGATCTAATATTCTCCAGAAAACAGTGATGCATAGAAACAAAATCCCTGCATACATAGATCAGAATGAATTGTTTTGGGTATCACAGAAGAGCACCGTTAAATTGATAAATTTCACATAGTAAATGATGCTGATGTTGCCTTATTTTATTATGTGCATGTATGTAACAGCTACTATATGTATTATGGGGGATTATATAAGATATACTTTAAAAAAATGGCAATGCACAAATAATGTAGGTTTAATCTTCCTTTTTTAAGTTTGGGCTCTTTAAAAATCTTGTGATTCACTCCATATGTTGGCTGATTATATCTGAGATGCTTATTTTTGATCTGGCTACAACTTCTTCCCAGTGTGCAATCCTGTTTTGTATAGCCACCTTAAACGGATCCTTGAATTCAGCTAATAATGTCTCTGTCAGGGTTCCTACACAAGTATGGAAAGTATGGAAAAGTATGGAAATAAATTTGATCAATTTCCAGGTATTAAAAAGTATGGAAAATGAAAAATAAAGTATGGAAAAATATTTATGTTTCCAGACTATTACCACTGTTCTAAAATACTGTTTTCTAAAATAGAAAAATAGGTATTTTCAAAAATAATTTAATCAATCTGGATCGTGTTTTATGCCGGGCCAAGCGCAGTTTGTGTGAGAGCAAACGTCTCAGAAAACATACCGCCTCGTTTACCTGATTGACAAGTGGTATGTCCAGTCTGATGACCCATGACCCTCCTCCAGCCCCCCAGGTATCAAGTTTCACTCCAACACTGCACCTTCGACAAGAAGACAAGTTTCACGTGGTTCACAATGGGTAGATGCAAGTTTTTGGATGGATGGCTTGACGATACCGTATATAAATACTGGTTGGCCAAGGATTCCCAATTCACACACAGAGCTAGATGCAAGCTTTGTGTGAAATTTTTTGACATCGCCAACATGGGGGAGAAGGCGATTCTGAGCCACATGAAAGGAAAAAACACAGACGTCTCGTTACTGCATCACTTGCACCCAGAGTCCCAACCTTTTTGCCTCAGCCCAGACATTGAACTTACCTGAGTTTTTATTTGCATGCCATTATGGTACTTGGCCACAATCACCTATTAAGAATAATTAAATATGATGTGAAATATGATACAATGATATATTTACTCAGATGTCACATATTCTCTGAAAAAAAAAGCAGAGAAGTCTGGAAATTAGGGTATGGAAAAGTATGGAATTTTGAAATTTCAAATGTGTAGGAACCCTGCTCTGTATTGGATCTATAAGTCCTTGTATCACACGTTTTGTGTTAAGTGCTCCATAAATAAATTTGCTTTGATTTGGAAACTGTGTGTCCATCAGGCTTTCTTTTGGGCTAACAAACACCTCAGATTGAGGAACAGCTGCGAATTATCTATTGGGATTAAACAACTAAGGGTTTCTGCTAGTTTAGACTATATTTCACTCAGAGACACTTAAATGAAGGAATTGCATTTATATCAAATAATCATAGTTAGATTTGGTGGAAAGGCTCCACTTTCTGAGGGAGCTCTCAATGAATCTGAGTAACTATGAGGACCCTGCTGAAATCCCCTTAAACAAACTTACACAAACAAATCTTAGTTAAATCAAAAACACGTGTTACTGTACACCTACATGACTTTGATCAGATGTTACTAGACACATACTTGAATATGCCAGTCAATGTGAAGTTGATATCAATTAGCAAACACAATAGTGGAAAATTTGTAATTTTTTTGAGGAAAGCATGACATTTCTAACAGTGCATACCATAACGTTTATTTTCAGTTAAGGAGAGAAGTCAGATTCGCCCTATGAGGACCATGAGAGGTCAAATCCAAGATGGTTGCCAGCCCCCGTGTCTTGATGTTCAAAACATGTTTAGTTTTGGACCCAAACAGTGCAGAAAAACATTTGAGGTGTTATTTTCAACTAAACTAGGGACGCCCCTTCAATTTGTAATACATTTCAGGACACCAGAATTCAAGGAAATGCATTTAGGTCAAAGTCAGAGTCAAATTACCTTTACATACATTTTGGACATTCTTTTTCTAATACATTTATTTTAGTTTGGACTCTGGATTGGACCTATGTAATACAGTGAAACTTTGCTTCCATTTTAACACTACTGGGATAATAATACCAAACACGTAACAGAACAGACCCACAGTGCTAGTCTGTTTTAATACTATACTAAGCGTGATAATGAAAAATAGACTTGCATTTGTAAAGCCCCTCTCTAGTCTTCTGACCACTCAAAGCACTGCTTTCTGCGCATGAAACAAATAGTGAATAGCACATGTTTTTTTGTGCATTTGACCCAAGCTACAGATGAAAACAATGAAATACAGCGTGTTCTCCTCTTGATGCCAGCCACAGTCAGAGGACAAACGTCTTCTATTTTCCAAATTAAATGAAATAACTGAATGAACGGATGATGCACAGACCACTCAGATCCAGATTAAAACTAATTTAATCTCTTTTCTATTCTACTTTTCTTTGAAGGGCATCCATAACTCATTCAAAGGGGGGGGATCCAATTTTGTCCCTCGCAGCCCGACTCATCATGACTGGATTGAACCACAAAAATGATTTATTGGGCTCCATTAAACTCCCTGTTTGTCCTGCTACCTGTGAATACTGTATTGTATTCTTATTGTAATAACAGTTGCAATGCTTCGTTTTCCTGTCTCCAACATCTGCAACCATCTGGTTCAATAACGCAATTGAAACCACTTCACCAGATCTCAGGTTGATCTGGACTACCAGGATATGCAAGATGGTGATAGCAGATGACCTGCTTGAGGCGGTTGGATGGCGTGAGACCCTCTCTACTTATCTAACCTCCCTGCTTAAACCAGGAACAGCCCCCCTGCTTGGTTGTCTTCACTGTTGGCAACACTAAAAGTTGCAAACAGACTACCCCAGTCTGGTCTCCCTCACACGCCATCTGGTAGAACAATGCACACTTTTATCCAAGCCGGATCCTCCAAAACCTCTGACGCAGTCACCGGTCTTATCAAGTACATGCAAACTACATTCTGACACAGAGCCTTTAGTAGTGCATATTCTCATATATTTATATATATTTATATTTATATATACTTGTGTCATTGACTTACAAAATGAAAGGAACTGCAGTGATAATAGTGATTTAGATGTCAAAATATTACACATATACAGCACATCTTTTTCATTTGTTATTCTGAAAAATAAAAAATATATTTTTGGTCTCACCTACTGCCCGCCTGTGTGTACTTCATTTTTGCCTGTTCCGGTGAATTTATATATATATATAATATATATATATGTATACACTTAACTGGACCCAATACCTGACTCAGTACAGGACTCTGATTGGAGGGTTTTTTTTCCTACAGATCACTACCCCTCTAAGATTTTTGGACACTGTCATTTAGAGTAGCCTGGGTGTCCCCCTTATCTTTGGACTCTGAGTCAGATGCCAGCTGCAAATCACCCCTTATTATTCCCTTTTTAGGACACTTCAAAATGGCAAATAATGAACACAGCCTGGAGCAGAATGCACCAAAAATCATCTTTGGAATATAGGAGTTTGATCATGTGATCTCCTAACTGCAGGTCTAGTTTTTGTTTTGTCTTTTCTTTTCCTTTTGCCTAAGGCACACCTTGGGGTCAAAATGTTGCTGTATTGAACTTTTGGCAGATTGTACTATTGAATGTGCAGAAAAAAGAGCAGTGAAGTCATAAAGCCCAGACTTGAATACTTCTAAATCTAGCTGAGCTAAAGAGAGCTGTTCGTCAACACTTCTCAAGAAGCTGCAAAGCTATTTGTTACCATTTGTTAAATCCATCACCATACAGCAAAGTATGGAAGGCACCATATGCACATAAAAATTATGTGCGCAGAAAACAAAAAAACATTTTATCAGGAAGTAATGATGATGAAATTATGTATTTTAATCAGGAGTATATAAAATATGTGGTTATACAAATACTTTTGTTATTAAATAGAAATATTTTTGACATTGCTAAATTCATTTTTATATCAATTTATAACATATATTACACCCAAAAGTAACCTCCAGAGGTATCATGGTCTTATTTGCAAAATATACACCATATAAACAACAAGACTGGATATTTACTTTATACTGTGTTTGTTGTCAGTAAACCGAAGAGACAGAGAGCCAGAGAGATTCAAGTGATGTGTGTGTGTGTGTGTGTGTGTGTGTGTGTGTGTCAGATCTCTGCAAGGTCTGTGTATTCAAGGTTCAGACTTAGAGAGACACTGCAGTCCTGGCAACCTCCAGCGTCGAGTGCTGCTGTGGATCCTCAGGTCCAGCCATTCCCGCTGAGCAACACCCAGAGCTACACTGGGAGCACAAAATAAAGACAGTACAATTCTTACTATTACATTTCATCACAAAAGGGTTTACTTTTGGGCCACAAAACACATTAATAACACAGAACCTTAGGAGGTACTTTAAGGGAGGGACAGGTATTCTAAATCATATCACTGATCAAAAATCAAATCAAAAACAAATCACAGTTGTAAAAATGTACCTTGGAGCAAGGTACGGCTCTTCAGGGGTGGATGGGTCCACTGGAGGGAGGTCAGTGGTCACATCTGAGGGATCGGACTGATGCAGGTCCTCACCCTCCATACACCTCAGGTTGGTTATACTGCTTGCCACCACATCAATGCTGTTTCTGCTGCTGTTGGCTGGACCTGGAGAGTTGCACACAGAGGTTACTGCCACTGGCCTCTCCTCACACTCATTTTATTTTCTCTTTATAAAACCATAAATTACTGCACCCATTAAAGTTGTCTATCAACAAAATGCATTTCTCATTCATTCATTCATTTTCCGTAACCACTTATCCTGATGGGGGTCACGTAGGGCTGGAGCCTATCCCAGCTGACACTGGGCGAGAGGTGGGACACATTTTGTGCAGGTCACCAGACTATCGCAGGGCTGACACATAGAGACAGACAACCTTTCCCACTCACATACACACCTACGGACAATTTACAGTCACTAATTCACCTAACATGCATGTCTTTGGACTGTGGGAGGAAGCCAGTGAACCTGGAGTAAACCCACACTGACACAGGGAGAACATGCAAACTCCACACAGACGGGCTCCCACACCCCAGGTTCAAACCATAAACCCTCTTGCTGTGAGGCAACATTGCTAACCACAGCATCATGATGCCACCAAAAAATTCATTTCTGTTAAAATAAATTCAATACTGTAGTGTAATTTTTGCCCCTGAGAAGAATAACATTGATGATGATCCATCTTATAACCCAATCGGCAGAAAAAATGTTGGCAACATAAGTTTCTGCAAATCATGGATATCGTACATTGACATTTATCATGTAGCAGATACACTGAAACTTAATGTTTCAACAACACTGTGGTTAACATGTGGTTATGTTAGGAACAAAAACCACTTGGTTAGGTTTAGGAAAAGATTATGCTTGGGCAGCTGCAGCTCAGAGGTAGAATAGGTTGTCTACTAATTGGAAGATCAGCAGTTCGATCCCCGGCTCCTCCAGTCTGCATGTCGAAGTATCCCTGGACAAGATACTGAACCCCAAATTTCTCCCGAAGATGCTTCCATTGGTGTGTGTGTTAAAAACTGCAACTTAAAGGCATGTGGCACCTTGTATGGTAGCCTCAGCCACCAGTGTGTGTGAATGAATGAATGTAACTCATAGTGTAAAAGCTTTGAGTGGCTGGAAGACTAGAAAGGTGCTACACAAGTGCAGGTCCATTAAAAAAAAAAAAAAAAAACAGTCTTAGGCTGAAATCACAGCAATGTCTCAGTAATAAAGAACCACTTTTTGTGACACTTTCCACCCTGGAAAAGCAGCAACAGGATGGTAAAACACACCTGCATTTGGTGGCTAATAAGCTGCAATGACCTGCTAAAAACACCTGGTTTTGTTGTTTTTTGGTCTCAAGCAATGATCTGCAGCTTGCCAGGCGTCTCACCCGGCAGACATTTCCCCTAGGTGGCACAACATCCACATCCCCATCCATCCCCATATGAAAAGCAGCTCATATACTATGTCACTTATAGATATTGAAATGTTAAGTGTTAAACGTGCAAATGTAACATATAAGTGGTATGCAAAGGTGTACAATGCCAACATCTTCTTCTTGCTACTGGGCTACATCTTGAAATGTACTGCTCACAGTATCATGTAGGGATGTTCCTCGCGACTAATTTCCCTGTTGACTAAATGAAAATTTTAATTAAGACTACTCGACTAGTCTAAAAAAGGGAAAACAGTCAAAATGTAGCACAATTTATTGTTAAGTATTTGAAACATTGTCCCAAAAAATATCATTTGCATTAGGAGCCCTTTGAAGCCTTTAATCACAATCTTCAACAACCATAACAGATTTGAATTGTGCTGAAGTACGAGACAGTTTGTGCAGTGCCGTATGAATGTGAACACAATGGCAACTCAGTCAGAAGTTAACCACTAAAAATACAGATACTTTGTTGCTACGGATGTCAACGGTAATATTTGCTGAGAATTTTTTTGACCAGATATGCATGTTGGTTTATAGGTTAATTTAGCTCTTTTTCAGTTTGGCAGTAGTAATAGCATTAACAGCATAATAATACTAATACTAATAATAATGATAATAATAATAATAATAATGATGATAGCATAGTTGTATAAGGTGTTATGTGGCATAACAACATCTTTGAGAAATTTCAGTCAGGTTTTAGAGTTTTACACAGCACAGAAACGGCCCTCCTCAAGGTACCTAATGACCTTCTTTTAGCAGTCGACAGGGGGGATGGTGCCATTTTAATTCTTTTAGACCTCAGTGCAGCTTTTGACACTGTTGATCATGGCATTTTAATAAATCGTCTTAAAACCTGGGTTGGGATCAGGAACACTGCACTTAGTTGGTTTCAGTCTTATCTTTTAGAGAGAACCTTTGCGGTCACCATAGGTAACCACTCCTCTTCTACAGCTCATATTACCTGTGGTGTACCGCAGGGTTCAGTTTTAGGTCCTATTTTATTCGCTATTTATATGCTCCCACTTGGTCAGATTATTCAACGCCATAATGTCTCTTTTCACTGCTACGCGGATGACACAAAGATATACCTCCCACTGAGACCTGGTGACCGCAAAAGCCTAGCTGTTGTTGTTGACTGTATCCATGATATTAACTGTTGGATGGCACAAAATTTTCTACAACTCAACAACTCAAAATCTGAAATCCTCCTGTTCAGTTCCCCTAACTCCATCAGCCTCATCAAAAATGGTCTTGGTCCCCTATCCGCAAATGTTAGGCCCACTGCCAGAAACCTTGGAGTAATTTTTGATTCAGACTTAAGCTTTTAGCCCCATATCAAAAAAGTTGTACAGTCCTGTTTCCATCAGTTAAGAACCTTCTCTAAAATCAAACCAATGCTCACTCAGTCTGATCTGGAAAAAGTCATTCACGCATTCATTTTCTCAAGACTGGACTACTGTAACTCCCTCCTTTCTGGCATCAACCATAAATCTCTCTCCCGCCTCCAACTTGTTCAGAATGCAGCAGCTAGGCTTCTCACTGGTTTTAACAGACGACATCACATCACCCGGATCCTGGCTTCCCTCCACTGGCTCCCTGTACGTTTTAGAATTGATTTTAAGATTTTACTGATCACTTTTAAAGCACGTCTGGGTCTTGCCCCAAGCCACATTACTGATATGCTGACCCCCTGTGAACCAGTGCACAGCCTTAGATCCTCAGGTGGGGCCCTTCTGGTCGTTCCAAAGTCGAGGCTTAAAACCAAAGGCGACTGAGCTTTCACCACTGATTTTAACTCCATTGTCTTTAGATAGGCATGTATAGCCATTCAAAAGTGAATTTAACGCTTCAGAGATCCAAGCTGCTCTGGCAAAAATAGTCCATGAAGCCAGAACATGATGCAAAACATCATGGAGGGAAAGCTGATGACAGAGACCCAGGAGCAGCATGACAACAAACCCAAACATTGCCAGAAATACTCAGGAATGGCTTCAAACCAAGCCGGAGTGGTCAAGAGCAGAGACTCCAAACCTCAGTTTATTAAGCTGGTAATGGTTCAATGGACTCTATGGCCGCAACACCGCCTCGCGTTCTATGTAAAAGGTACAATCACTGAATGGGGGTGCGGAGTAGTCTCGCCTTTAAGCCAGCATTAGAGGTAGTACTAGCACCAAAATGACATCCATTTAAAAGGGACAGCTAGCAGGACAGGATTATGGGCAGGATGGGTGTGATGTTTTGATGACATGTTATGTGTGTGACTCACCGCAGGAAATTTAAAAAGTAGCTGTTAGCAGCCAATTGAAAGGAGAAGAATGGCGGCCCAAAATATCAGAAAACTGGGAAAACACTTAGGTCCACGAGGTTCTTACCCTCCGAGCAGAGGACGAGATCAGCTGCCATATTAAATGATTGTTGTTGCCATGTTGTGTCATTGTTATTGTTTAAAAAGTGCTGCCAATATGTATGTTATATGCCACACTAGAGGCCATTGCTGTAATGTTACATGTCATGTATGTCATGCCTCTTTTGCTTCTGCGATGTCAGCATGCTGTCTAAAATCACACACTGGAGCAAAATGATGCTGCTGTTGTTTGATTCTGTGCAAAAATGCAAAGGAGGCAAAGAGAAGGGACTTCATAACGGGACTATAGTGTGATCCCTGTGTAGAAGGGGTTATGATTTCATTCTGTGACTTTCTGACCAACTGGTGTGATACTCACAGCAGCGTGTGAAAGGCTCCCAGGCTCTGGACTGTAGATATGGTTTGGCCTGCGGCTGCTGGAGCAGACAAACCACTGCTGAGTCCACCTGCTGAAAAACCCTGCAGACAAGGAAAAGTATTACCCAACTTGCGTGGTAACTGAAAAAAATCTGCAGAGGAGTAAGTTCTCTTCACCATGGTCATTAGACTACAGTTTCAAAGAAGTCGACAATGGATACTGTCAGTATGTTACAACTCTGTCAAAGTTTCAGCAGATCACCAGTACAATGAAACCAATTTACTAAGTAGGCTTATTTTATATTTTCTGGTGCTTTTTCTTTCATATTTTTACCTGTTGCGTCAGCCAAAAGAGGGTCTACAGAGCTGCTAGTCAGGTGTAAATCAATGTATTACCATTATAGCAGCAGTCTAAAAAATGTATGGTGCATGAAGCAGCTTTGAAACTTTAACAAAAATGTAGGTCTGATTGGTTTAAATCTTTCTAAGTAAACACATTCCCAGTTCAATTTAAGATACAGAACAACTCTTATATAATCAATATAGGAGCCTCGTCTGGTGTCAATAAACTGAGATTACATTACACTGACATGTATGGTTAGTTAAAAGGCAGGATATAACAAAGTGTGATACCGGAGGCTGAGCAGTCGCTGGTGGAGTTCAGCTGACAGACCATATTTGTCTGACTGGATCAACTCTCTGATAGAATCAAAGTCCTGCTTCAGCTGGAGAGCTCCCTGCACACTGAGGAGGAACAACACAACACTGCTCAGAGGACTTACTGAGCTATACATCAGCAGCCTGCTGCACAATATACCCAGTTAAACACACTCAAGAAGAGGGGGATTGCTTTTGCATCATGAACAATCTCTCTCTCTCTCTCATACACACAACACAAAACACACATTAATCATGTGTGCAGGCTGACAAAATAGTTTTGTAGGCAGAAACAGAGAAACCCATGTCTTTCATGACACTAGGAAGGGCAAGGCATTAAGCCCAGTACAGACCAAAGATTTGCGACGAGACGAGTTGAAACAGGCAACTACTTGCACTGTGCTGTTCTGTAATGTTCTAAAAACCTGCTGGTTCACAACAATGTTACTAGATCAGGGACATACGTCGCCCTGACGTCTGAGGTCATGAAATCCTTTGCAAGACTATAGTTGCGCCACATCACAGGCCCCCTGCTGGACCCCCTACAGTTCGCCTACTGGGCAAACAGGTCAGTGGATGATGCAGTCAACATGGGACTACACTACATCATGCATCACCTCGACTCTCCATACGCAAGGATCCTGTTTGTGGACTTCAGCTTGGCAGGCTTAACAACACATTTGCACCTTTGCTCTATTTTACCTCACAGACTTGTATATATTTTGTATATTTGACATATATTTAGGGCTTGTAAATATTAATTAACTTCATTTAATTTTGAATTTAGTGTAGTCTTTCTATTTTCTACTTCCACGTTCTTTTTCTTTGTCTAATTTTTGAGTACTTAATGTCAACACTGGCACATTGAGAGCAAAGTTTACCGAAGTCAAGTTCCTTGCACACGTGCACACGTACTTGGCCAAGAAAGCTGATTCTGATTCTGAGATGAGACAGTGTATCATCTGTGGAGCTTCTTGATTGGGGCAAGAAGCTCCGACACCAGGTGACACCATCAGCTGGCTTGAGCTACAATCAGACCGGCCAGTTCACACTGCTGCAACTTTTCTCTGCAACATTCTAAAACGGTTTTGTCTCATCATGAATCCTTGGTCTGAACAGGGCTTGAAAAGTACTCTTGATTTCTAGGCACTAGTTTCAGTCTGGTTGGGAAATGTTTTTAAAAAAATAGATTATTTCATGGCATGTTGCCTTTATTCAACAGTCAGTATAGAGCTGGACAGTAAATACAGGGAGACAGAAGGGTATCACATGTACCGAAGATCCTCAGCCAGGTGTCAAACTGTGGATGCATTTTTATGTGGCATGCACCTTAATAATTAGGTTACAGGGGTGCCTCATTTCATGGTATTCTTAATCTCTGTTGTAAACAGTGTCATTGATTTGGTCAAAAACACTGTGGCATCAATGTGTGATGATATGGCCAAAAACATACCTGAATTTGATCTTATGTTTCAAGATGTGTTCCATCCATGCCTCCATAAAAGCTGTCATTGTTATACTCAGAGCTTGGACACGGGCATCATCAGACAACGGTGCCACCCCCTCTAAAACCTGACCAATCACAGTCTGAGCAGCCAGACACGCATACTCACTGGGACTGCCAGGAAAACCTGTGCAACGACAGAGAAATACACAGTTATCAATACACAGGTAAAAATTGTAGCCAAAGTTGAGTATTACTATGGAAGTCCAGTATTTATGTTATGTAATGTAGTAATGTAACTTTGTTTTTAAAGTTACTATTACTATTACTATCATTATTATTAATATGTTATAAAAAGGGTTTGCCTTCATAAACCTACAGGGCCCTTTGACAGGCGACACCATCTAACCTAAACAAAGAGCAGATACTTGGGAGCATGATCCGGCCTTCTATCTACATTATATGTTTAGGATAAACTACAGTGGCTGGTCAACAGGCACCTTGATAGGCAGCTTCATCTGAATGTCATGGGTTTATCTGAATGAGAAGTTACATGTGAGTGTAAGAGTGCATACAAATCTTGTGGGTCATCAGCATGCTGCCATCATCAACAGATAACCCCACTCCCAAAAAAACAAAAAACAAACAAAATAAATAAATAAAAACCTGGGACACTGTTTACATAAATAAAAACAGAATGCAGTGATTTGCAAATCTTTCTTGGATTTATATTCAGTTGTATACAGTACAGAGACAAGATATTTAATACTCAAACTGATAAACCTTTTTGTTTTTTGTATATACGCACTCAACCTTTTAAATTCCTGCAATGTGTTCCAAAAAAGTTGGAGCATGGAGCATGTTTACCATTGTGTGACATCTCATTTTCTTCTAACAGCACTCATTAAGTGTTTGGGAACTGAGGACACCAACTGTTGTGTTTTGAAAGTTAAGTTTTGAAGATGAAATTATTTCCCATTCTTGTTTGATATATGGCTTTAGTTGCTCAACAGTCCAGGGTTCTCTGTGGTTGCATTTTGTGCTTTATAATGTGCCACACATGTTCAGTGGGAGGCAGGTCTGGACTGCAGGCAGGTCAGTCTAGTACTTGCACTCTTTCACTATGAACTGCACTGTTGGAACACGTGCAGAATGTGTCTCATTGTCTTCCTGGAACAAGCAGGGACATTCCTGAAAAAGACGTCGTCTGGATGGCAGCATATGCTGCCCCAAAACCTGTATGTACCTTTCAGCATTCATGGTGCCTCCACAGATGTGCAAGTAACCTATGATGCCATGGGCACTGACACACCTCTATACCACCACAAATGGTGTCTTTTGAACTTTGAGTTGGTTACAATCTAGATGGTCCTTTACCTTTTTAGCCCGGATGACACAACATCCATGATTACCAAAAACAATCTGAAATGTGGACTCGTCAGGCCGCAGCACACTTTTCCACTTTGTGTCAGTCCATCTCATATGAGCTCAGACTCAGAGAAGTCTGCAGTGCTCCTGGATGTTGTTGATACTTGCATTTGTAGATGCAACGATGAACTATGTTTACTGACAATGGTTTTCTAAAGTGTTCCTGAGCCCATGAAGTAATATCCTTTATACAATCATGTCGGTTTTTAATGCAGTACCATTTAAGGGATCAAAGGTCATAGTTTTTTCAAGGTTTTCAGCTTTGCCCCATATATGCAGACATTTCCCCAGATTCTCTGAAACTTTTGATGATATTATGGATTGTGGATGGTGAAATCCCTAAATTCCTTGCCATTGTGTGTTTTTCATTGTTCGAACTATTTAACCACACATTATTTAAAAAGTGACAATCCTAGCTTGTACACAACTGAGCATTTCAAGGATGCCCCTTTGATACCCAATCATTGCATTAATTAACCTGTTCACCTGCAGAATGTTCCAAACAGGCGTTTTGTGAGCATTGCAAAACTTCAAAAGTCTTTTGTTGCTTCTGTCTCAACTTTTTTGGAACGTGCTACAGGCATCAAACTCAAAATGAGTGTATATTAACAAAGAACAATTAAGTTTATCAGTTTAAACATTAAGAATATTGTCTTTGTACTGTATTCAACTGAATATTGGTCCAAGAGGATTTGCAAATAATTGCATTCTTAACTTGATGCAGTAGATGCAGTGATGACCTGTGTTTTCCAATAATGATTTTCGGAGGTGTTCCAGAGTCCACATAGTGATATCCTTTATACAGTCATGTCAGTTTTATAATGCAGTGCTGCCTGATGGATCGATGATCATGGGCATCCATTGTTGGTTTTCAGCCTTGCCCCTTACTTGCAAAGATTTCTCTGGAATCTCAGAATTTTTTGATGATATTATGGATTGTAGATGGTAAAAAATCCCTACCCATACCCAATACCCAATCATGATACTATCACCTGTTACTAATTAACCTGTTTACCTTTGGAATGTTCTAAACAATTGTTTTTGAGCATTCCACAACTTTCCCAGTCTTTTGTTGCTCCTGTTGCAACTTTTTGGAATGTGTTGCTGACATCAAATCTAGAATAAGTGTATAATTACAAAACACAATTAAGTTGATCAGTTTGAGCGTGTAATACCTCATCTTTGTACTGTATTCAATTAAATACAGGTCATAAAGGATTCACAAATCATTGCATTCTGTTTTTATTTACGTTTTACACAGCATCCCAACTCTTTTGGAATTAGAGTTGTACAATCCTGTCTGGAATGTCACTGATCAACATTATATGTTTAGTATTCTGTGCATACTTTCTTCTAACTCACAGCCAGTCACTGGAATTGGCTGCAGTGTCAAACATGTTTTCACTTCCTGTTTTAGGCTACACCCTCGAATGCCCAGTTCAGTTAACAGGGACAAAAGTGATCTGCCCACAAAGTCCCTACATCCAACCTCCAGGGGATGTCCTTCTCGTTTCCAACCATGCTCCTCTGCTTCTGTTGCCAGCTCTGTATATCAAAGCTTTTTCCTTTCATAGGTCATTTTTACTGCATCCTCCTATCAGCTCCACATGATTTGCAGCACACTGTGTTTCTGACCACTTCACAATGGACTATGAGCTGTTTTCGTAAATCTACTCTCAATTTGCATTCACAATGGCTGTTGACCACATGCCTCTTGAGCAATCTGGTGAAAGTCGTTGATAGCTTCCTCTTTCTGCCATGTCCAGGTAGTGTAGTCAATGTTCCTTTAACTTTGAACTTGTGAACTGTATCTTTAGGAACATTCAGTGCCTTTGTTATCTTCTTGTGTCCTTTTCCTTCTTTATGCAAGGCAAGGATCACCCCTTAACTTTTTGTAAGCCTCTTGACTAAACCATATTTCTCAACATGCAATCAAACGTCACCATCAGTAAACCTCTGGCCAGTCCACGTACTTGATGTGTTCTTTCTCAAGCACACCTGATGCAACTAATGAAGCCCTTGATTAGTTGCATCAGGTGTGCTTGAGACAACACCTGATTTGCAAATGTGTGCTCTTATGAGGGATTCTATTCAGGGGGTTGAAAAATTTTAAAATTGCAGTAGTCATTAATAGTGCCATTTTGTGTTTAATTTGGAGAAACCACTTGTAAATATTAGTTGTGTTGAGCTATTTAAATAGTTCATGTTTGATTTGTTTATTGCGAACAGCTGAAAGTTTGTAAATTTTGCCAATAAAATTTGCAATGGGGGTTGAAAGATTTTGCAGCAATTCTATGTATAAATGACCCTTAAAAATTCAGTACAGTACAGTATACCTAAAAAACTCAAATCAGACATGTACTGGTGCTCCTCTGATTGATAATAGCACTCTTTACACAGAGACTGTACGACAGGGCTGCTATGACATCCCTTTGCTTTTTTGACAGAGCCAAACAACAGCATCATAATGCCACCCCACTGTGTGGTTTTAGACAGCATGAAGGCTTCCTGGAAGTGCGTGACGGGCTTGATGTGCAACACTGCAGCAACTGATCTCTGTTCTCGTCTAGTGCTCAGAGGGTAAGGAGCTATGCTCCTCATTGTCTCCCCACTTTGGGGACATTTCAGTCACTGTTCTTCTTCTTTAAAGGTAGGGTCTGGAGGATTTTCCAGTTGCTGTTTGTAAACACACATTCAAATTTGGCCCCTCCTATCAGGCTCAACTCTCCTGGGTGTACGGAGCCCCGAGGTACGGAAGAAGGCTTCACAGAAGAGGTTCAGGCAAGGCTCGCGCTGGTGCACGCTCGGACACGCTCGGACACGCTCGGGCACGGCACCTGCGCTCTCTCATTGGCTGGGGAAATCTCCGCCTAGAAGCGGTCCGAGCTCACAAAAACATCAAAATACAGGCAGAGGGCAGGAGCTCTGCAGACAGAGTCACCACCACACATGAGTAGAAGCCCCATAGGTGATGATTAAGCAGGATTTCATTTGTATATGTCTATATTTTGTTTTGTTTGAAAATCCTCCAGATCCTACCTTTAAGTTAGCTGCTTACTGCTTCTAGCTTGCTTTTTAAATCTCCTGGCGGTGGGTCTCACACATGACACATCTTCTAAACATCGCACCTGTCCCACCGAAGCAATCAAGAGATTGTCTCTATACTCTTTAGAGACAGGCTGAGCTGACATTATAAGTTTCATCCTCTCCAAGGGATCAGCAAAGATCTGTGGTATGACTTCATACATAGACTGACCCTAGACTAACCATTAATAACAGTCAGACTTCAGTACCTGTCCTGAGGCTGGGTCTCCAGTGTACAGCAGAAGGCATGGTCTGTTCAAAAATCTCCCCTGACATCCTCTTGCAGTCACTGGAGAAGGTCTTCAGCACCAGAGAAGAGAAGGTCTGATGGACAGTGACACAGAGCAGTGGCATCAGGATCACATGACACCTACACTCTTGGGTTTGCACAATGCACACATTCATGCTGGCAAAATGGAAGAAGGGGACAAACATCTTCTCTTGTTTGAAGCATTCACACATCATTCTAAAACACCCACATTACAGATCCTGTAGCTGTGTCATACAAATGTATTACATATTACTATGCTCATATTAAAGGGTAACTTTGGTATTTTTCAACCTGGACCCTATTTTCCCATGTTTTGTGACTAATAGGATTCCAGTGTCATTCCAGTGTTGAGCGAGACCACTGCAGATAGCAGCGGCAAAACAGGCTGCAATGTAATCCCTGTGGGCAATTGAGCACCATGTCCACTAGAAGTGCTCAGACTGTAATTCTTAGTGTCTGACACCATTATAGAAAAAAATCCTACACAGCTTGACCTATTATTCAAAGAGCAAGATCCTTTTTGTTTGACCGAAAACAGCCTCGAAATTGCTTGGGTCAAACCCACCAGCCCCCTTTTAAATAAACAGTAATTTTATCATTGTGATACACACCTCATTCAAAGTCGACAGAAACAAAATACAACTCACAAAAACAGTTTTGGATTGTCTTTCCACTGTTCCAACAATCACCAACTGTGGTTTTGTTGAAATAAATCCTTCATTCACTCAGTTAGATTTGAAAATATGCTGGCTCTATACATGCTAAAATGACTGTTTATTTAAATGTAGTCTGGTCTGTTTGAAGACGGGGCCCTTTCTGGTTAAACAAAAAGAATTTTGCTCTTTAACAAAAAGGTCTGTTGGGATCCTTGCCATAATGTTGTCAGACACTTAGAATAACAATGTGAGCCTGTCAGTGACAAAAATAAACATGGACATAACAATTTACAGTGCCCATAGGGATTACATTTGCAGCGTGTTAGGCCACTCTCAGTTCTGGACCAATTTCAAAAAATTGTTGTCCCCATTAATCACTCACACACACAAAAACATGGGAGAATAGGGTCGAGGTTAAAAACTGCCAAAAGCCGTGTTTCCACCAAGAACTTTTGGTATAGTACCTTAAAAACTAAAAGTAACCCCTACGGACATGTACCTAGACCCTAGACCTACTTAGCATTTCCACCACAGACAGTACTCTATCTAGGCAGAGTTGATAACTCACTGCTCCATCCAGCTCTCACTGTGTTCCCCCTTTACTGGTGATACAGAGGACAGTCTGCACCTTGTTATAAACTTTATCCTCCACAGAATAGGGCTGACATGCCAATATTTTCGCAACAAACAAGAACAAGCTGGAATGGGAGTCTGTCTCAATGGGATATTCACGTGAAAAAAATAGCAGGTTTGTACAGAGTCCTATCAAGCAGTACGAGCCATACGTTGTCATTTCATGCACTGAGTAACATGCAAGAAAAGATTCCACCAAAAAGTTGGTAACCTGGTATGACCACTCTGATGACGCGAGCTCGACATTCTATTTGGCTCTGTATCAGTCTGGACTTGCTGCCGTCCCCAACACTTTAAGTGGGTGGGAGTACTCGCCTTGACAAACTCCTTCAGCCAATCAGCGAAACAAAACAGTGGGGAACATCCTCTTCATCACCTGTGGAGCCAGTTAATAAATCAAGCTTTTGCCAAATTCAGTTAGAAGAACCATATTTTCCTCCAAGGAGCAAGTGTGTACACTTGTTCTTGTTTATTTGTTGTTACTGACTCCAGCCACCATTACTATTCTGTAAGCTGCAGCCTGCATTTTACGTCATCAACTGCAACGCAGTCCCTCATTGGTTGCTTATGTTGTCAAGTATGGAGCAGATCCTTGATTGGCCCAATCGGATTTTAATTTCTGGAAAGGGTTTGGGGCGGCATCAAATCCAGACTGATTTCAGGATGGTCTTACCAGGCTAAAAAGTTGCCGGCAGCTGCTGGCAGTAGCCTTTGAACAGCAGGGTGAATTAACTATTTTTTTCTCAGTCTACAGCTGCTGCAAGAGGCAGCAAAACATACTTTCATTTTATAGTTATAGTTTGCAAATGTATGTAAAACTTGCCACAGTCAACAGTGATCACATAAGCTTCAAAACCAGCCACAACTCAGCACTAAGCAAGAGTGACAGTTCTCTCTTGACCAATCAACAGACTTCAGTCTGTCTAACCCTAACCCTAACCCCAACAGAGAGGTAACCATCCACAAATTTTCACAATGGAAATGGAAAAATAACCATTCTAATGTGTACCAAACTGAACTGAACCAGGCTGTTTGGGTGGAAACAAGGCTAAAGTTACCTTTTAAAGCAGGTATAAACAAACTCTGTAGGCTACTTGGCTCTCAGAAGATTAGTCTTGATTGTATCAGTGTTTAATACTGGATTTTATTTACACTGATGTGCCATCAGTGAGGGGCATTGACGCTATCTTGGTGCAAATCAATGACAGTTTTGAAATTCTTTTCCCCAAATACAGGATATTGTAGCTGTCAGAAGATCCCCATTTCTCCTACTCAGTGTTCCATTTAGAACGAGATAGAAATGAGCAGTTCTTCCTACTAGGCTATTTTCTGCTTAATGTGCAAGTTCATTCTTGATCTTGAAAACAGACTAAGATAATGTTTTTGGCCCTTCACTCTCAGCTATGTGTCACCATCAAACACAGCTCATGTGTTGCTGCTCTCATTCTCTAACCCACACAACCCTAAATATTGGGATACCATTCTCACAGCATAATTAAGCTTTCACTGCTTTGTAAGAACAATGGAAGAGGAGTCAGCTTTCTAATGTGTTTGTTGGTCTAAAATAAACCTGACAGGTTACCTGCAGCTCGGACACAGCCCTGTCAAGTGCTCTGAGTTGCCTCCTCAGCAGATGCTGGTTGTGGTTATGAAGAGTGGAATGTTGGTTACTGTCTGAATTGATCATCAGGGACTTAGTTTGAAGCACCATAGTCTCTAATGACTCTCTGAGCACCTGCAGACACAGAGAAAACACATCACAAACATACTTTATCAAACTGATGCTCATTCGATTTCAGGGCTAAAAGCAAACACTATAATATAAGGCAAGTGAATATTGGGCAGGTGACCAAAAGAACAACTCCAATGATAGCAATAATCATTTTAATATGCTGACAGTATATTAGCACTGTAGCATTTACTGTTGATATGGCTATTTTAAGTTTTTCTTGATAGTTTTCAGAGAACAATGGTTATCTATGGTAAAGGGGAATAAAGTACAGTATGCAGTCACATGCACAAATGTGGGCACGATGGTCAAAATTTTGTTTACTGTGAATAGTTAAGTAAGTAGAAGATGAACTGATCTCCAAAAGTGTTGAAGTTAAAGGTGACTAATTTCTTAAGTATTTCAAACACGATTACTTTTTATTTCAATCTTTTTCAGTTTCATAATAACAAAAAAGCTTCTAAACACTTTTTGTAACCAGCTAAGAGTCCTTCAGTTCTTGTTTGGGGGATTTTCACCCATTCTTCCTGCAAGACGCTTCTAGCTCTGTGAGATTAATAAACAGAATTTTGACCAGGGGTGCCCAAACTATTACATGCCACTGTATCTGGCTTTAATACACAGACAATACTTGTTTGGAGGATTAATCCACTGTAGATATTGGTCTTTGAATGGTAATGTTGATAATAAAAAAAAGAATCAAATAACACTAGCCTTAGCTTAAAAAAAGAAGTGTGTACCACAACAACAGGTTGGCAAAGTGGTGTGAATACTGAAGTTCACTCTATTGCTTCATTCATGCCTGTATCGGGACCTACACGCTTTTCCTTTAATGTCATTCTTTGATCCTCCATCCATTAAATACACAAAAGTCTCCTGGTTGATAGAAATGAGGAACCTACTTTGAGATCTCCCTGTGTAATAAGCAGGAACTTGTTGAGACTCCATGAAGAGAGAAACTGGTAAGCCTTGGATATGACCCAGACTGTAGATATCTGCACTGTGGCTAACACCAAGCTAACAGTCTGTCTCTGGAGAGTGAGCCTGGACTGGAAGACGCTAAAAGAACCTGAGTGGTGGGGGAGACAGAGCGAGACAGAGACAGAGACAGAGAGAGAGGCTGTAATCAGGGCCTACAAATAGAGATACACCGGGTGTAATTCATTCACTAAGGGCAGATTTCGTCAAACAATCAGTTGATATGTTCACAGCAATTCTGCCCTACACAGGCTAACTGCAGTAACTACGCAAATACTGAAAAGTTTCTGACTGTCCAGCCAAATGCTTCTAAGTAGAAAAGTGGTAATGCGTGTATTTTTAATGCCTATAAACAATTATCTGTGATTTAACCTATGAGAATTAATTTCGCTGACCTTTTTTCCATGACCAAAACCAGACGATGACGAGCTGAGAATAGATCTTGATAAGACAAACTGGGAAGAATTCTATGATTCATTTTCGTGGCGAGACGTGACAAAATTATTCATGGTGGACTATCAGACATTAGAACAAAGGAAACACTTCATACATCTATTAAACAAGACAGGTGCATTGGAGAGAGAAGACCAAAAAGTTGCAAAAGGACTCCCGCACACTGTCTAACTTGCAATATATAATTTATTTGTGATGTTTCGGTACTAGACCTTCATCAGGCAAAACTATCAGACATTGAAAGCAGAGAATAGCCATGTTTGCAATTATTTTCAAATGCTGCATGATCGACAGGCTGGTACTCCAGTAAATAGTTGGTGCCAGGATGTTTTGCTAGTCAGCAAAAACACTCGCCCCAGAGTAGCATCAGCCCTTGGTGTGAGTTATTAGCTGTAATTCAGCAGTAAACAAGCAGCTGTGTGTGTCTGACTGTGGATGGTGGAGCTGCTGAATGGATTTGTGGAGTTTGTTAGTTGCAGCAGTGGCTGTTAGCAGTTAGCTCCACTTTTTAGCCACTGAATGGCAGCGGAGCACCGGCTGCTTGCCACCTCACAGCTGATTCCTTTCAGAACTGGGTCCTGCCTCTTGACAGGCAGGTAGGAGGCTCAGTTATCTGTGAGTGTAGCTGTGCTCTAAGTAAACAGTCTGAACTCAGATCAGTTTTCACAAACTCTGTTAGACGACACGAGTTTAAAACTCCAGACTAACATGTTGCAGATTAAGAAAGAATTCAGACATTAATGAAGTTATTTCTCTGCTTCTTAACAGTGAGATGGATATGTCAGAGTTTACAATGAACCTGGGTACAATCCTTGTTGACATCAGATTCCTGTTGCCATAAAGCACAATGAACTCTTTTGAAAGACTTCAGGACTATTTGTCAATATCCAAAAATGTGAAATGATGTCTACTCATGAATGCGCAAAAAATGTCATTTATGATATACCTGTTAAAACTGTGGTAAAATACCTTGGTATTTATGTGACAAAAGATCAAAAAGAATGAGAATTACTCAATCTGACTAACAAAATCGATGAATGTAAACATATTAATATTTGGTCGCAAAGGGACTACTCAATCTTTGGTAGGACGTATCTCACCAAGATGGAAAGCATCTCGAGAAATGTCCACCCAGCATCTTCATTAGCACTTAGTACCGTCTTTGTTAAGTCTATAAACAGACTCAACTTCAATTTTATATGGAAGACTTGAACTCATTATATCAAAAAAAGCTTTCACAGTTAACGACCTGTCTGAAGGTGGGCTAAAGGCAACAAACTTTGAATGTATGAATGTAACTTAAAAAATGAACTGGTTGAAAAAATGTGTTAAATTCCCAGGCAGTATCCAGCATATATTCCCTAAAACTTTATTTTTTAAAAAGGGTGGTACTGAATTTATTTTAAAATGTGATTACACTGTAACCAAATTGTCAATTAAGCGTTCAAAATATCATCAACAGGTTTTACTTTTTTGGAAATTATTTTACAACCACAACTTTATACCTCAAAATAAGATTGTTGTGTTTGTAAATTACCTGTTTGAATGGTTAAATAAAAAGTTTAATAAAAAATGATGTGATGGCATTACTGTGAAGGCAACATTGTGTGCCTTTTTACCTGAGGCCCTGCTGTTTGAATGATGGCAACACAGAGATGACAGGAGAGGAGGGGACAGCAGCAGGAAATGCTCCATGGTCGCTGACATCATCACACTTCCATCTAGCTCAGACGACGGTGTCACAGAGTTGCTGGTCTGATTCCCACCCGTGAGACACTTATCTTTCAGAGATGAACCTAAACCTTTGCACATCACTGAAGAAAGACAGACAGCAGGAGAGAAAGACAGACTGTGTGAGAGACAGTATGACAATATAATGCCAGTGAAAGATTCAGTCAATACAGTGTTTCAGTGAAAAAGGTTTAAGTTAAGGTTTATAAAGGGTTGATATGAAACTTAAATGGAAACCACCTCCACATAACTTCTCCGGGCATTCGGCATCTATTAACCACCACTAAAAGTATTTGTTTTTGCCACTGACAGGTCAGATTGTTATTGTAAGTGTCTAAAGACATTATGAAAGGATCTTTACAAAGACAGACTTTTTTATTTAAGAGTACGATCCTTCTTGTTTAACCATAAACAGCCCAAGATTGCTATTGTCAAACCCACCAGACTCCATTTAAATAAAGAGTAATTAATTTTAGTGTGTATAGAGCCAGCATATATTCACATCTATCTGGGTGAATTAAGGGTTTAATAAAAGCAAACCAGAGTTGGTGATTGCTGGAACAGTGGAAAGACAAACCAAGACAGTGCGTATGATTTTTATTGTGTTTCAGTTAACTCTACACCAAGTGGGTTTTACAATGACAAATTATTCTTAACTTAAACGGAGTGTGGTGGGTTTGGTGACAGTGATTTCAGGACTGTTTCTGGTTAAACAAGAAGGATCTATTTCTTTAACAAAAAGGTACAGTCAGGTCAATAATTATTTGGACAATGATACAGTTGTCATCATTTTGGCTCTGTACACCACCACAATGGGTTTTAAATGAAACAATGAATACCTGCTTAAAGTGCAGACTCTCAGCTTTCATTTAAGGCTTTTTTCAAAAATGTAGTATGAACCGTGTAGTAATGACAAGCATTTCTTCACACAGTCCCCCAACTTTAAGGGCTCATAAGTATTTGGACAAATTAACATAATCATCAATTAAACAGTCAGTTTTAATACTTGGTTGCAAATCCTTTACAGTCAATGACTGCCTGAAGTGTTGGACACATAGGCATCATCAGATGCTGGGTTTCTTCCCTGGTGATGCTCTGCCAGCCCTTTACTGCAGCCGTCTGCACTTCCTGCTTGTGTTTTGGGTGTTTTGCCCTCAGTTTTGGCTTCAGCAAGAGAAATGCATGCTCAATTGGATTCAGGTCAGATGATATGACTTGATCATTACAGAACATTCCACTTCTTTGCCTTAAAAATGTCTTTGGTTGCTTTTGCAATATGCTTCAGGTCAATGTCCATCTGCACTGTGAAGCATCGTCCAATGAGTTTTGAAGCATTTAATTGAATCTGAGCAGATAATGGTGCCCCAAACACTTCAGCTTTCATCCTGCTGCTCTTGTAAGCAAGACAAGACTTCACTAGAATAAATACAGAGGGTTTATCACAAGATGCAAACCATTGGTTAGCCTTAAAAATGGAAGGCCAGATTAGAGTTTGTCAAAAACCATCTAAAAAGCCTGTACAGTTGTGGAACAGCATACTATGGACAGATAAAACAAAGATCAACTACCAGAATGATGGGAAGACAAGAGAAGGAAGAAGGGAAGGAACTGCTCATGATCCAAAGCACACCACCTCATCAGTGAAGCATACTGTTATGTCATGGCCATGTATGGCTGCCAGTGGAACTGGTTCTCTTGTATTTATTGATGATGTGACTGCTGAGAAGAGCAGCAGGATGAAAGCTGAAGTGTTTGGGGCTACATTATCTGCTCAGATTCAACCAAATGCTTCAAAACTCATTGGACGATGCTTCACAGTGCAGACCTGAAGCATATTGCAAAAGCAACCAAAGACATTTTTAAGGCAAAGAAGTGGAATGTTCTGCAATGGTCAAGTCGTATCAGCTGACCTGAATCCAAATGAACATGCGTTTCTCTTGCTGAAGCCAAAACTGAGGGCAAAACACCCAAAACACAAGCAGGAAGTGCAGACGGCTGCAGTAAAGGGCTGGCAGAGCATCACCAGGGAAGAAACCCAGCATCTGGTGATGTCTATGTGTCCAACACTTCAGACAGTCATTGACTGTAAAGGATTTGCAACTATTATGTCAGTTTGTCCAAATACTTATGAGCCCTTAAAGTTGGGGGACTGTGTGAAGAAATGCTTGTCATTACTACACGGTTCATACTACATTTTTGAAAAAAGCCTTAAATGAAAGCTGAGAGTCTGCACTTTAAGCAGGTATTCATTGTTTCATTTAAAACCCATTGTGGTGGTGTACAGAGCCAAAATGATGACAACTGTATCATTGTCCAAATAATTATGGACCTGACTGTATATCTCTGTGAGGATCCTTTCCATAATATTGTTAGACACTTTGAACAACAATTTGAGCCTGTCAGTGGCAAAAACAAACACTTTTAAGCTCCGTTTACACCAAACACTTTCAGTATAGGACCTTTGGAACCAAAAGTAACCCTTCAGGCATGGTACAAAGACCCTAGGTCCGTACAGTACTCTTACATGTAGGTGGCGTGCTGTTGTCCAGCGCTCGCTGTATTTCCTCATCATTGGTGACACAGATGAATGTCTGCACCTCATTTAAAGCCCACAGAACTCGGCTGCACGCCAACATTTGCAGAACAAAATAGAACAGGTTGCAGTGAGTGTCTCTCGATGGGACATCAAAAAATAGCAGGTTTGTGCATTTAGCCATTCTCAGGCAAGCACAGGGGTTTAGTGTTGCTGTAGCCCCAGGAACGACGCTCTGTTATGCTTTTTTTTCTCCAAGTGAGGATTGGGATATATGCAGTTCACATAACCCAGTCGAAATTAATATCCATAAATGCTTGAAGATTACCCTTATGACTAAAACACGTGATCAAGAGAGACAATAAAAACTCATGCCAATGGTCAAGGTTGTCATATTGAAATTTAAGGTGTGCTGATGAACGCTACAAGGTAATGTTCTGCCATAAATCTGCAATCTGCAATCAGCCCAGTGAATTAAGTTATTTTTCTCTCAGACTACAGTTGCTGTGAGAGGCAGCAAAACATCCTTTCATTTTACAGTTATAGTTTACTAATATATGGAAAACTCTCCACAGTATGAACAGTGATTACATAAGCCTCAAAACGAGCCACAACTAAGTCCTGAGCAAAAGTGACCATCTGCTGAACAAACAACGGACTGCACTGTTTCTAGCTCCACCTTTAAGTACTGAGATCTGTGTGCTAAGTACCCCAAAGGAGGGGTGACCAAAAATGGGGATGGTAAGGAACAGTTCCAGTGGTAACATCCACAACTTTTCACAGTGAAAACTGGAAAAAAAAAAAAAGTACCGCACTGAAATGAAATGTACCACACAGGGACACAGGGCTTTTGTGGACGTTCTTTGATGGTGCTCAATTGCCTGCAGGGTTACAAGCCTGTATCGCCGCTGTAACACTCAGTTCAATTCAATTCAATAGGCTTTAGTGGCATGACACTCTCTCAATACTGGACCAATTTGAAATACTGTTGTTCCCATGAGTCCCTTAGACACAAAAACATGAGATAATAGGATCCAGGTTGAAAAATACCAAATTTACCCACTGATACCAAGTATCTGCTGATAACCACTTGTGCAAATTAACAAAATGCTGTTGGATAGCTTTGCCTGTTGCTGTTAAACTCAAGCACTAAGATTATTTCTGCTTCTACAACAGCTTTGCCTCCAATAACAGCAAGAATGGTCTGTGTGTGTGTGTGTGTGTGTGTGTACTAACCATAGTCCCACTGAGCATGTGCTGTAACAACTAACAGATACAGACTGAAGTCCTCCAGCATGGCTCTGCACTCTTTGGGAACCAGATCTACGAAAAAAGGACAAAACCCAGAGAGGTCATGCAGACAGTACAGTAAACTGGACCTCTTTAAGGGAAGTCATTTCTCCTCTCAGTGATGTGACAAACAACTCATTTTAAGCCTGAGGACCATATGCTGTCTGTCCAATCATTCACAATTTTGCTAAAAAATACAAACTCTTAATCCCCTTAAGATTTGTTTTTAACATTACTATTATTACAATCAAATGAAATGATCATTTTCTGAACAGCACCACAGCTCTGCACTAATGCAATAAAGGCTGAATTTAAGTTAAATACTTTGCCACATCATGTAGAGTAAAAACAATTTTCATGTTTTACCCCAAAAAATATTAAGCTTTAAATATTACATTTACATTCATCATTTGGCTTAAGCGTTTGTCCAAGGGATATACAAATAAGGTACGATCCAAAGCACAGTCCTTCGAGGAGAAACCTTAGAGACCCATCAACACTCAGTAACACCCTCCACCTGACAAAACTGCCACAAAACACTCTTAGAAATAAGGGTTATAAAATGGTTCTCTTTCCAAAGGGCTGAGGTTCTACCTTGAATCATGTGCCTTTTTGGTAGGAAGGTTTCTTTGAAAGACTAAGGGTTCCATTAAGAACTCTTTTTATCCAAAGAATTCTTTTTTGGAGAACAGGTTCTTCAAGGGTTCTTTGTAAGAGTAAGGGTTCAATTAGGAACCCTTTTTATCCAAGGAACTCATTTTCTCATATGGTGATAAGCCAAAGGTTCCTATACGGGTCTAGTTAGCACCTTTATTTCTTAAAAGTGAAGCAAATTACAATTTTTTTTGTATTTGGGATTGAGAGGGAGAGAGTGAAAGAGTGGATTAGGTGAGCAATGTAAGTACTCTTAGGACTAAGTACTTTTCTGTTAATAGACTTACTATAAATGAATACCAAATTTAGAATGCATATAAGTAAATTAGCACACACAAAACACTGTATATGGTGTAAAGAAGTAACTGAATAAATAATTAATGAAATGCTGACAAATTAATGAATTATTAAGTAATGCAGTTATAGGTGACTACAGAGCCTGTAAAGTCCCAAATGATGAAATTTTTCATCTTGTGTGCACAAGTTATTTTTCTTTGCACAGGAGGTAAGTCTTTTTGAAAACAAGTTTTTATCTTGTTGGTATAATACAAGTTAATTATCTTGTGTGCACAAGTTCACTTGTTCCCACATAAGTACTGTAAAACTTCAATTAATACCCCAGGCTATTATTTGCTTAAATCACTGAAATCAATCAATCAATTTTTACAGTACTTGTTCTCACAAGATAAAAAAATGTCACCTTTCAGGACTGTAGGTGACTGTACTAAACGACATGCCATATGTAGACCTCCACACTGTTAATGTGACTGGACATTATCTTCTTACCCGTCTTTGAAGCTTGACTGATCTTGTGAATGATTTGGAAGCTCCTGTGTATGTCTTGGAGGTTGATGCTTCCTGCAGTGCTTCCTGCTCTTGGTACATGCAGCTGCAGCCACAGGGCTTTGCTGCAGAGGGTCCACAGCAGGGTGCGGAACTGTCCAAACAGTTCAGAAAACACAGACGACTGACCAAGGTCTAACCACTGTACCGAGTGAGGCCAACGAAGACAATCTGGCTCCATTGCTGTCCCCTCTGTGCCCCCTGCCTCCTCCTTCTCTGGGTTTCCATCCCTTTGAAAACCTGAGCTGAAAGACACAAACACTCTGCAGTTATCACACATGGACCAGGCAGGGTGGTTACTTAAAGATCAACAAAACACAGAACATATTTTAGACCACACTACTGGTAGATTTGGTGAAATGTGCAGGAAACCTGAAATGGTGCACCCTGCAGTCCATGGGAACGAGTAATACAGTTTCTCTCTTTTCATTTAATAATAGAGAGTAAAAAAAATAAAGTATGTATTAATGGCCAGTGTGTAATATCCTACAAAGTGTAGTGCAGATGATCTAGCATGACTCCAGCCAGATGACCTGACATGACTCTAACTAAATGCATATATATATATATATATATATATATATATATACATACATACATACATACATACGTGTGTGTGTGTGTGTGTGTGTGTATACATGTAAATACTGTATAAACTAAGCACAAAAAGTAAGGAAATTTGTGTTTGGTAGATTATTTCTTTGTTGTAACAATGCTTCTTGGCAATACATCTTATACCGTTGGAAAGCCTGTTTATTTCCCTTTTAAAGCAACACAATGGAGTTTTTGAGCCCTCAACATATATATCCAAGATCCTTGTGATGGTACATCAACTCACAATAGGTTGGATGACACCTCTGTCATTGCTTGAGAGTGTCTGTTTCACTTGCACTGGCACTATGCAGTTTCGGGGTTCGGGTAGGAACCCGGACATGAAAAAGACTACAAAATTTGGCTGCTTTATGGCATATGTCATATCCCCCTCCTCGCTTTAGAGTAGCGTAGCCGAACCGAGGTGAACAAAGTTAGATGTGGTTGTCATGGCTGAAGCGACAAAGAAAAGGAAGAAGGTGAACGTGTTGTCCAAGGAGACAAAGAAAAGATAACAGGAGAGCGATAAAACAAGAGCTTGTACAAGGATTAATATTGGCCCGGCTTTCACACACTGGCGAGAGCTGAAAGAGGAGGAGGGATGCCCGACCGATGGTGACCTGGCACTGTTGCTGCTGTTACCCTCTACTGAGGACACTCACTGTCTGCAGGTCGGCTGCCTTATGTACATTTTAAGATAAAGTGCTAGCCTACATACAGACAGCTTTCATTTTAGTTTGTCTTCAACAGTTTGCTGTTAGCACCGTGATGTGTCGACCGCGATCATAAATCATAATAGCAGTGAATGAGAGACTGCGGACAGAGCAGATTGAAATATGGCTTTCTATATGCTGATCACATGTATTGATAAAGTATTGGCTTGGCTGGCAGAGGTTTAATCGCACTTACTTACAGTAACAAGCGTAGTTGTCGTCAACTAGAATAATTTTGAAGTTATATTCCCTTCATCTGCACCGCAGCCTCTCTGCTGTTGTCTGACTTCACTCTGTTGAGTTTGTGTTTCTATGTGTGCAAACGCGCTGTGAGGAGATCAGCCCTGACATACAGAGAGCAACTCATTTCTGAGTTTTGAAAATGAATAAATAAATCAAGCAATCGACCTAATCACGTATGTACAAAATGCTATAAGGCTACTTTACCTGTTTTAAAGACATGATGATTGCGCATTACACGGCCAGCTTCAAGAAGTTCACCAGTATTGTTGGCTTGTCAACAAATGCACAAACAGAAAGATTTTTGTGACAGTTGTAACAGACAATATTGTCTTTTCGTCTGTAGGGGGACCCCGTGAGGTAAAAAGTGCAATCCTCCATTGTGTTGCTTTAAATGGTGCCACATTTTTAAGGAACATGCATTTGTGGGATGAGCAGCAGAGCTCAGTATGTGGGTTGCACCCATGAAAAGTTTGCCAAATCTTCTTTGCCAATGCCAAACAGTTTTTTTTTTTTGCTGTTGATTCTTATTTGCTGTTGTTTGGTGGATTGGATGATTGAAGTCTGAAGACACAAGACATATTGGCAATTTAACAGTTCATTCAGTTAAGAAGCAGGAGCCTCAGTAGCATGTGAAAGAACCATACACAGCCACAACAGGCTGGCACCTCCTCCTCATGCTGGTCAGCAGCCTGGTCACACACTGCTGTGGGATGGCATCCCATTCTTCAACCAGCATTTGTCTGCCCATCAGGTTCGCTGTGGTGCTGCACTATTTATTGACATGACAAATGATGGAAGTAGAACATTATGATGTCACAGTAATGTTGTTCTTTAACCTTTTGGATATAAAATGTCATCAGTTCATCATTTTATTCTATTAGACATTTGTATGAAATTTTGTCATAATTAGTGTAGTGAAAAACACGTTTTGTGAGGTCACAGTGACCTTGACATTTGACCGCCGAATTCTAATAAGTTCATTCTTGACTCCAAGGGGACGTTTGTACCAAATATGAGAAAACTCCCTCAAAGTCTTCTTAAGATATTGCTTTTAATGAGAATGAGACTGATGTAAGCTCACAGTGACCTTGACCTTTAACCACCAAATTCTGATCAGTTCATTCTTGAGTTCAAGTGGACAACAATGGGACAACCTTAAAATATAATGCTGGCACGGAGCCATAAAAGATAGTTTGAGAGAGATGTTCAAAGCCTTGGCCCATCACTGCTTGAAGTGGACTCGGTTTTCTGTTTCAGCATGTGTCAAATGCATCTAATTCTGCTGTCAGAAAGGCGGTTTTAGGTGATCAAACGCATAGGCTACTGGGGCCCTGGATGCCTAACAATAGATAACTGACAATCACCACAACCGCCAAAGGCTGGTTAACCGTGACATTACCTGAAAGTAGGTTCTTGCCTGGTAGTTATTTCCATTTCAGTCCATTCCTGCTGAGATCCTTTCACATTCTGGTCCTTGTTCAGTTCTGTACTCACACTGTTCCATTCCACTGAATCAGCTGCACTGACAACGAGAGCAGTTAATTTCATCAGGTCAGTCTTTCCATTAGGAGATATCACATCTGTTTTTGTATTGGGTAGCAGTTGTTCAGTTGGTGCCTCGGATGTGGGTGTATGTGAAACTAGTGGAGCCAGCAGATCAGTGGAGGAAACCAGCACCTGAAAAAGGAGCTCTAATGAGGAATGGTCCTGTTGGCAGACCCCTGACAGAAGCAGGGCTGAGAGATGGTGGGAGGAATATGAAGGGGGTGAAATGGTGTGTAACAGTTTACAGTTTTCTAAAGTGGGCTGTTTTTTTATATTTGCTTGGACTGAGTCCAAAGCTTCCACACTGTTCTGGGCTGGACCAGTGTGGGATATGTATGTTTGGCACTGGATGGCTTGGTCTTTGCTAGAGCTCTCTGGTCTTTGTTGGATAAAGGTGGACTTTGTTAATACAGGATGGTGGCTCTCAGAGATGTTACTGTCCAAATGAAGGTCAGGGATGTAAATTGGAGAAGTTTTATGGCAGGTGTGACGAGATAATGACTGTAGGGAGGGGTGATGATTAATAGAGAAGAGAGGAGAGGAAATAGGGTAGGTATGGTGCAGCTGCTCCCAGGTCCACTCAGATCTCAGCGCAGAGGTCCCACAGCTGAGCCTGGCCACCTGACTGACGGAGTTATCAGAACATGTGTAGGCCTCTTGGTTGTTGTGGACCTGACAGATGTGATAACTCTGCTCAGAGGCCCAGCAGTGCAGCTGCTGGGCTGCCATATCTGCTTGATGCACTGCTAAAATCCTCATCAGCTCTTTGATTGAGAAGGCAGCAGGGTGAGGCCCTTTGCTCTTTGGAAGACTAGAATCTAGTGTGGAATAATGTGCCTGCTGTAAAAGTGCAGTCCTCAACTGGGTGATGTTGTGCTGTGCTCTCTGCTCTCCCACTGCCTGGTTATACAGCTCTGTGCCAGCTAAAATATCCTCCAGCGCTTCTCTTGGTATGGAGTCTAATTCAGTCTGGGCTACAGCAGACAGAATGACACACACATAATGTTCCATCAAAATCAGTGCCTGCAGACCAAGTAAGTCCAGAGTCTGTTTGATTTCCGCCAGCAGCCTGGTGTGCTGGACCAAAGCAGGCCTCAGAGAGTGATCAGACTGGACTTTGGAGAACAGACAAGACCAGTGGTTGAGATGGACCCGCAGCTCCTGACTCAGTGAGCCAAGACCAACCGTGACTGTAGACCAGCTGGATGGGGTCTGGAAAGGAGAGGAGAATGCATGTAATTGTGAAAAGGCACCAGAGGTTTGATTTGAAATGGTTCTACAGAAGTGCTGACACAGTACCTGAGTTCCAGTACCGATACTACAATGATTATTTTCACAGTGCCTTAAAGGAATACTCCGACGATTTGGGAGTTATGCCCTTTCTCTATCATTTTCATAGTGAGACAACATGATCAATATCTTTTTTGTGTCTGTATGTCCAGTGGCTGGGTCTCAGTGGTTAGCATTGCGGCTTAGCTTAGCGAATACAATTTAAGTCTATAGGGGGTCAGTAGCCTACTTGGTAAAAGTGAACAAATAAACGTTACAGAAACCCTGAAGCTGGTATTTCTACACGTGCATTTAAAATAAACATGTTTAAACATTAATTTGAAAAACGAGAGTCCTTTTTAGTCGTTATAGAAAAAGTTTGATACATGAACTATAGTGTGTTTACGTCCTGCGCTGTGATCCGCAGAGGGATACACCGGTGAGCAGGCACAGGCACAGACGTAGCCTGTAAACAAAATTCAGTTGTTTATTTAGCCTAACGATATCTCCGGACTATAGTAGTAATATGTAGCTGCAATGGACGACTCTGAACGCGATTTTGAAGAGTTTCTTGTAGCGGGCACAGATCCAGAGCCACACCTGTTTTAGCCGGAGCATACAGATGAGGAACTCCAGGTGTTGGATGCTGAGCAGGCGAGAAGAGAGGCTGAATCCTCCGCTCCCATTTTGCTGCACAGAATGGGATTCGGTGCTACTGCTGCCATTGTTGGGGAGATATATCATCAGGAGGAAAAGCGCCGCAGAGAGTGCATCACAAGGAGTGAAGTTGCGTCTTCTTTTCCTCGCAGATGACAGTTCGGGTTCATTCTCTCCTTTTGCGTGGTAAGTGTGGTCCATTCGCAATCTTTATAACTAAAAAAACTTTTCACTACTCTCTATCAACAAACTACTAACACTCTCTGCTGTTTCCTCCTCCTTCTTCCTTCCTTCCGCTGTCTTTGTTGGTTTATTTATATATATAAACATATTGATGGGTAGAATATTCAGATTCAGATTCAGATTTGACAATAAACCATGCCAAATATTACACACTGGCCCTTTAATGTTTAAACATGTTTATTTTAAATGCACATGTAGAAATACCAGCTTCAGGGTTTCTGTAATGTTTATTTGTTCACTTTTACTGAGTAGGCTACTGACCCCCTATAGGAGGGGTTGTCACACAACAAGGTATTTCACCAGTAGGAATGTCTGATGAGTATGCCAAGTTATATGTGGTTCAAACCACAACCCAGGGTCAGGGGGCTCTCTAGAAAAAAAATCAAAAGTCAAACAGTGACAAAGCAGCATTCAGCCTAAGTTTTTAGGCTAAAAACCGCGGACATAGCATGCAATAGTCCACCTTCCACCTTCTCTTCCCCTCTTTCTGTCATGTCCTCTCTCGCCCCAGCATCGCTTGTCTCTATGCTCAACCAGTGTCTTGCACTCTCACTGGCTGTAGCTTGCTGACAAAGTCTTCGACAGGTCCAGATACAAAGAAGGCTAGGTATCTGGGGAGGATCTTGTGATGCATCGGACAGACATAAGGCTCTGAAATAATGTTATCCTCTCTCTTCTGCTTAGAAGTGGTGAATTTACAGCTCACAGTAACTTAATACGACACAGTCTCGGGCAATTGTTTGATATCTAGCAAAAAATTTTGTTTCATATTTCAGATCTGTCGTTATCACCATTAGCTTATTTACTACATTATGTGAATGTCACTGTCGCACTGAATGTCCAGCTGAGTGTGTTTAAACTTTAAAACTTTACATGGAAAAAAAATGAATTGTTGAATATTCATATTGAACAGCCAAATCTCATTCAACTTACGTAATTCTGAGTCTCTTACTGTCCTAATTTCTTTATAAAATCCTTTTATTTTATGGTGAATAACAAGCCAAAGGTCTTCATGTTAAATCAGTGATGCACGTCCTGCATCCCTGATGTATTAAAATCTGCGTCCTGGGCACACACTATTATTTCCCATGATAATGCTACATTATGGTCAACAAATCCATATAAAGTGGTGTGGAGGTCACTGAGGACCACCAGAAGACAATAACTGTATATTTTTAGGCAAGACGACAAACTACTGTTAAAGACCAACCAGAAATCTAGTTCTGTTTTAGTGAGTTATTGCCGTGTTTCCAACAGTTTTTAGGCTCCAAACGTGGCCATCTTGTAGCAGCCCGTCAGTGTGTTTCCATCGGCTTTTTTAGGCTCTGATCATGGGTGTTTTGTGGTGTCCCATTGCTGGCGATAGTGTCATGAAAAGCCATTGTGCCCTCAAATGTATTTTAAGACAAACATGATCTCTTATTAATCATAACGAAGTGTTTTTTGTTGTGGAAAAATTAAGTTTCAAAATATACATATGAACATGCAAAAGTACTGTATCTGTGGTTAAATGAAACGTTAAATGCCAACATTTTTTCTGGCGATTAAATCCATTGGTGATTATTGGTATTCACTCTTACATTTTGCAAACGTCTCGCATAAGATGACGAGATCCTATTTTATTATAGTCTCAAGAAGTTAAAGAAAAAAAACTTTTCTCAGAGAGAAAGACATTTTTTCTCAAAATGGTGAACTATTAAATGTATACAGCATTTTTTTTAGATTTTCATGGATTACCACATAATATCACAATGTATCATATTTGGTTCAGAGTCAAATTCCATCTATCTGCACACATATTTGGCCAATAAAGCTGACTCTGCTTCCCTCGCTACTGAGTAGGTGATTTTGGTGCTCTCTATGATCAACTCAAGATGTGACATTTTTATATTTTTTTTTACATAGACTGTATATAAAAATACATATAGCCTATGCTCTGTGGTTTTGTAAATGGAATTTTCAGATTTGGGATTTCATTTGTTTAATGTTAAGATACATTTTTCAACATACTTAAATGAAACCATAATCATAACCATAAAACACTAAAAAACACAAGTTTATTTGGGATCCGCTCAGTTTCCCTGGGACTCAAATCACCACCTATGGGGACTCACTATATTGGAAACCTATCAACATCATTGTAAATGCTGTCTAAACATGAGCAGACATATCAGAGCTTTGTCTAAAATAAAACTTTTTCAACAGAACACCAACAACTGAATGAACATCCCTCCTGTTTTCACCGCTCCTTCTACCGGTGTACCAATGCACTTGGCACCAAAATACCATAAAAATGGCAAAGCCAATTTCAAGGTGAGGAATTATCAGTCAGAGGCTGCGTCCAAAAGGCCCACTGGCATACTGCATACTACTACTACGTACTACCACTAGATACTACTCCTACCTACTAAACAAGTTGGGTCCATTCGGACATACTAAAAGATTGGTGGGAAAACACTCCATCTGCTGGCAGAGCAGAGGTACTGCACATGTGGATTTTGGTGCAGTACCTCAGCCAAGCCAGCAGATGGGGTGCTTTCGTAGGCACTCCATTTGCTGGCAGAGCAGAGGTACTGCACCAAAATCTGAATGCACCTGTGACTATTGAAATTGCCCAAAAATGAAGATGGCCACTCTACCCACCAGCAACATGTCTGCAAGCTCTCTCATGCTTCTCAACATGCAAAATGCGAGGCATAGCCGAGCCAGAGCTCGCAGACGCCTCCTTTTGCACATAATAATTAATTCACTGCCACAGTAAGCAATGACATGACATGCCACACTCAAAAACTTAAACTTTGCACTTTGAAGATCCTTTACATTGTTTTTGAAATAATCCAACCTGTTATGGTGATGACAACCATCATCACTTCTCATAAGTGTCACAGCGCTAACATCATGTGTCAATCAAGTGATTATTTCATTGAATATCAATATCTAGATACAGCATTTCCACCAGCACATTCTGTCATGTGTGTAGGCTGAGTCACTTTGAACACCTGTCACCTCACACAGTACAATGATGAAAACTGCTCTGCCATGATGTATTTTCATTATGCCAAACTTAATCATCATTTGTTTTAACAGTACTAGTATTTATTATTATCATTACTTATTTTATTGTTGTTGTTTGTTGTTGTCTTTTGAATGTCAAACGAATGTGAATGTCCAATATCAAACTAACTTAATACCGGTATAAAACAGACTGCTTTGTTCATAATCATAATAGCAGAAATACATTTGTGACCAATGAAAACTGTGTGTGTTGATAATTGTATATTTGTGCAACTTAAATCTTTAGCTTGTTGCACATAGGAGGAGTATAGACATATATATATATATATATATATATACACACACACATGTAAAGTGCTGCACAGTTTTGATGGTAATTCTCAGTGGGTTTCACATTACACAAAATAATCTGATAATTGTCAATTTAACAAAGATTGCTTTCAAAAGAGTTTGAGAAATTCCTGCAGTGCAGCCTAACCTGGTTTAGTGTCAGGTGTGATTTCTGCAGCTGATTCTCCAGCAGGTGTCTCACTCTGGATATGTATGCTGCTGTTAGGCGAGCCCTTCTGGTGTATTCATGTATGAGGAGCAGCAGGGACCGCTGCTCCAGGAGCCTCCACAGAGCTGTATAGTGTCCCTGCAGGAGGGAGGAGGAGAGCAGGAGGAGAACACCACCCTCTCCGGGGGGGCCTTTCACACAGACCTGATGGGGAGGAAGAGAAGAATAGAGAGGAGGGCATTACTCAGTCAAAACTATTTCAAATCAGATAACTGTTTCTGACATTGGTCACGACAGCTCATATAGTATGCCAAGCCCTTTTTACACTTAATCAGTAGTGTCAATAGCAATTGTAGATATCAGTAATGCTTTTATTCATTCATTCATTCATTCATTTTCTGTAGCCACTTTTCCTGTTAAGGGTCATGGGGCTCCTCCCACCATCTCTGGGGCTCCGGCCCGCTGTGAGGTTTGAATCAGGAACCCTCTTAATTCCTTAATAGTGGAAATGTTCATTGTAGATATCTGTAACTTAATACAATTATACAACTTTTACCACTGACTTCTAGTCAAACTTTACTACTGATATCTGTAATTTAATTTTGACGTTAAAATTCCAAGTTGACATATCCATAATGTAATTTCTCACCAGCTCCAATACTAAATATAGCCGCGAGCCAGAGAAGCTTTTAAAAATTGGGTTATCGCTGGTAAATCAAGGCATGGACCTGAGAGTGAAATTAAAAAGAAAGCTGTTGCTAGGTTCAAATATGCAATTGGGAAATTGGCTTTAAACAAATCCTGTGGCCTTCATCTGATCTCTGCAGAGCATTTGAAATTTTCATGAATGAAATTTTCATTTTCAAGAATGAATGAATGAGTGAATGAATGAACTAGAAAATTTCACATGAAATTTTGAGTGTGCCTGATGCTCGCTGCCAACTAGTATCCCCATA